CGGGTACAGCTAGCTCTGCCTCCAGATAGGCAGAGCCAGCTGTCACTCACGCAGCTGGGTGGATCTCGACAGTAATGTCGGGATCCGTCCCGGCTGCAGCGTTTCAGTATAACGCGAGCGGTAGCTCGCGGAATACTGAGCTTTGGGTGACTGGAGGACGCTAGTTTGTGTCCTCCCGTTACCCTTAGGAGAACTATGGGGAAAAGCCCTGACCCCATAGTTCGCCTTTAACAGTTAGGGATAGGGTTAAGATTTTAGATTGAGGTTTAGAGTAAGGTTAAGTTATTGGATAAAGTTCACTGCTGTGCTACAACATTCTGATAGAAGAAAGAGGCACACCCTAAGCACAATGTATTTAGGCAATAGACTCAACCCTGCTATGCCCCCAGTTATGCGGACCATTAAGAAATAATATGCCAAAAATGATTGGTTAAACCCAGAATAGTGTTTTTTTTTCACAATTACTTTTCCATTATACTGGCTTTTCAGAATAGCAAACAGTCAAAATAAAGGGTTTTGTGCACAATAACACTTTTGGTAGTTAGATAGAACATTCTTGTAGACATCTGTACCCCAAAAAGAGGGACAAGTGAGGAGGAAAGAGGGACAGATGGATTTGGTTTCAAATGAGGGGCAGTCGGGATATATGGTGTTATGCATGTTCATTTTGTATGTTTTTCTGGTGAGATCAATGCTCAGTACTCTATTATCTCACACATATTGGTTTAGATATATGTCTGAGAAGTAGTTACTTCATGTATTTTTGTTCTATGTAGGCCCCATTCACACTGCCGCGCATATACGCGCATATGTGCATATTGTACCATATGCAACACATGCAAATAAATGGCTCCATACACATAGCCGCGTATGGAGCCGTATATTTGCGTAGCGTATATATGCGCAAAAACAGAATGGAACAGAGATGCGTCCGGGCAGCGTATTGCTGCATATTTACGTGAACATATGCGTGTAGATGCGTACAGCACATTAAAAATTCCATTACGAGTGATGCATTCTGGGATTGCATATAGTGCACGCATATATGCATATACGCACGTATATGCGTATAAATACGCGCATATACGCACGTACATACATGCATATACGCATATATAAGCAATATACCATTTTGCTCTTGCGTTGTGTGTGAATGAGGGCTTAACCTCTGTGTTTATTATATATTATTTACTTATTATATATATTTACTTACTTGTTGTACCTATTACTATTACTACCTATTACTATATAAATCTTGCTTTTAAAACAATAAAAATAAACAAAAAATATTTGTAATAAGCATTTCTTAGAAACATACTTATAAATTCAGGCAAATAAAGGACATTGGAGCTGCCATTCTCTTTCATTCACTGACTATTTGCTCCCTAGATACATAATATGTATAATGGTAACAAATCTATGGCTAAAGGAGGAGTATTGGGAGAGTAATATATACTCTTCCCAATACTTGGAGCTGCATGGGACAGCTATCACACACTGGCTCAATACCAAGAGCTGAGCGATCACTCAGCTCACGGTCTTCTCCCTGCAGAGTGCGGTAATTGTCAGTCACCACCAATGTAATGGAGGTATATACACTGACCACCAATGTAACAGGGGATTTCACACTGACTACCAATAAAAAGGAGGTATATACATTGACCGCCAATTTAACGGAGGTGTTCACACTGACCAGCAATGTAAAGGAGGTATATAAACTGACCAGCAATGTAAAGGAGGTATATACACTGATCATCAATGTAACAGAGGTATTCACACGGACCAGCAATGTAAAAGAGGGTATATACACTTCAATTTAACTTCTCTTCTGAAGACTGGCAGAGCACCCCTATTTATAGGGTTGGGTGCTTTTCCAGGTTTTTCTTTCCTTGCCTCCACAACATCTACCTTGGGAGACTCTGGCAGTCCTTTTGGTTTTATGAGTAGTCAGTTTTCTGTGTTCACTGTCCTTATTTCCTAACCTGTATAATGGGTCTTCAGCGACAGAGGAAAATAGTTGCATTTTCTTTAGTACCAGACTTTTTTTCTGGATATAAGTGTCCGCAGGTGGCCAGTTTTGGTGCTCTCTCATCTTCTCTTGCTGTCCAAGTCAAAATGAAGTCTTTATTTGCATACTTGTTTTGGGCCATTGACTAAAAGCGTGCTCTATCTACAGAAGACAATCAGCATAACAGCCCAGCAGCTTTCATTTTTGGAAGAAAGGTTAGCAATTGCAGCTGCCTTGTTTTTCTCATGACAGGGTTCATACTAATATGCTTTGCATTTCCACTGAATTACTCACTGACCTGATCTTCTGCTGGAACTAGTAAAAATCATGGTACTTCCATGTATTGGTGGAACACATACAACAACAGGCATGCCGCAAAGCTGTTTCAATTGGGATGGGTGGTAGTGTAAAGGACAGTGAATTGTTTGTTAGTTGGAAATTGCAAATTAAATTTCATAGACTGCAGCAACAGATCTGGGAGTCAATGGAGCTTGAGAAAGGTAAGTACAAACGCTTTGTGGAGCAGGGCTTTGGCTGGACTGCACAGTGAAAATGGAGGACAAAATAGGGACAGACTCACTTTTCTCCCATTAAGATACAATGCAGAACCCAAGCCTTACGATCTTTAACTCTTTGTCATGGAAGACAGTGTTTAAATCTAATTTACACCTGATAATGAGATATGAATGCACAGTACACACATAGAAGAGTATGGTAAACATTAACTCCCCAACCCCCTCCTTAACATTACATAGCATGGGAAAGCTTCAGTTTTTGAGTTTTCTGAAAATAGCAAGTCAAATATTAGCAGCAATTTTAAAATATTCATTTTAGAGGCATGCACTGTGAATGGGAACATGAAACAGATATAAAGTAGGTATACCAATTTGGCTGCAAAAGTGGAAATACACTTTAAAGTTAAATGTGACCCTAACCGAACTGCAAGTATGCACAACCATTTTTTCTGTGCCTTTTAAACTAAGTGATCCCCTTGCAGTAATTCAAAGTGGTACAGCAAGATAATAATTAGAGGCTTCTGAAACTAATATCTTTTCTGTGGGTTTTATATGGTATTGTACAGCCCTACATCTCTCTCCATCATACCACACCATCTAATGAGTGGAGGCTGTGCTGGAGGTGGAGACTTTACTCAAGTTATAACATCCTACCTGAGCCCATAGCACAGAACTTGTACACTTACAGAAGCTACCATTCACATGCCTCAGGTAATTGCTTTGGCAGGGTTTGTATCTCTGGTCTTTGCATGCATACTGCAATATTGATGTGCAATATCTTAGTTATTTCTTAGCTTACATAGGTGTTGACATGTTTGTGATAACATATATGGTATTGCATGTTATCATTATATTCCCCAAGTTTGGAAATATGTGCTTATTCTTATAATAATGAAAAGACATATAAAAATCACTAAATTACTGCTGGGAGAAAACCAAGATTTGCTGTATTGTAAGGTATATGATTTATTCATTTTATTTATATATATATTTTTAATTGTTGGTAATAGTTTTAGTAACTGTTTAAATCATTTATATACTTTTAATGTTTAATCTTTCCTTAGCCTGTGTTGTTTACAAAAAAGGACATTAGTTTGTCTTTGTAACAATTAAAAAAAAAAATTAGGTCTGGATCAGTATATAAGGTTCTTTCTGAAGTCAAAATGTATTTCTTAATTGACATATTATAATTTAGAAGCAGGTACATTTATAATAAAATAGAGCATGTGTGTTGTTGTAGTAATAATAACAATAATATTATCATTATTTTTCTACTAAATATTTTGTAATCACTATTACATCTTTGTGATTTAGTTAAACATTACACTGTCTGTTATTAGCGACATCAAAATCTCATTCTATTACATGAAATTGATGTTTCCAAGTCGTTCATTTACTGTTATAAACTGAGGGGTGTGTATCACTTTGTTTTTCTATTTTATTGTACGCACAACATCTTTCTCATGCAGTAATCTTTGCAGTTACTGATCACTATAGTAAGGCCTATTATGAAGACACAACAACACTGCATGAGCATGATTTAATATTAAAATTCCTAAACTGTCATAATTGTTAGCATTCCATTAACAAGCTTGATTTAATAAAAACTGAACTCCGGCTAAAACTTCTCTTGTTGTGTTGGATAGAGTGTGGAAGCCTTACATTGTCAGTCTGAGTTGTCTATGTTCCCCTTGGGGAACTTTTTGCACACTTTCTGTCCTTGTGATAGGATGTCTGGAAGTAATGAGACATCATTGCAATTGGGACAGATTATTTTTTAATAGGGTGGGGAAGGGTTAGAAACTTTGCCAGGTTTTAATTTCTGCCTGGGCTTTCCTGTTCTGATGACCACTGTCCCCAACATTACTTGTCATGGTATCATAAGAATAAAACGTGAAAGGAAATTCACGCAGTGGGGTCCCACACTGCAGTGAAAACCTGATAGGAGTTCTAATCTTTCCCTTTTATTTTCAGTATTAAAATATGCCATGAGACCTCTTTTTAGACTCACTGCAGATTTAAAATACAGTTTTGTCTAGAACCCATCTGAGGCTGTTACTGGAACGTGAAGGAGCCGCAGTATGCTGGTGAGGTCATCAATCTGTCCCTTCTCATCCTGTCTGTATATTCTGTGTAAGAACTGTGCAGTACAGTGAGCATAATTGGCTCAGATTACTGACCCTTCCTCTCCCAGTCTACATCCTGCTGTACATTGGATTAAAGACGCATGATATCCAGATTCAGGTATTTATGAAAGCTGTAGGTGGAAATATATTTAATTATTTTGAGTGGACTGATAAGTAGCCTGAGCAGTGTTTTTAATGTCTGTCTGGAGTTTGGCTTTAAGGGATAAGGTTTGATTATTTTTTAAGAGCACACAATCATTGCTCTTTGTAATGGTTATATGAAAAGTCCTAAATGCACAAGCTTTAAAAAAAGCAATCTGGCCTACATTTTTTTGTCTTCTTTCTCCCTAGATTGCTAGAGAATTCCACAGATTTGGCCAAGATGAAGAGTCGCAGAAGTGGGATGATGGAGAGCTCCCGCACATTGTACTCCAGCATGTCCCGCAGTATTGAGTTGTCACTGGATGAGTTAGTAAGTTCACTCCTGAACACTGACCTAAGCCTAAGAAAAAGGTTTCTTTCTTTGATGCTGCATTTGATTCTCTTATTACAGGATGCTGTCAAATTTATTCAGGAGAACTTTAAGAAGAGAGAGTGCATAACATACACCAAGGATTCAAAATCACAGTAAGTATTGGACGGAACAATATGCTGATACAATTGGCTCCTTAATGTCCCTGTGGTGGTACTTAAAACCCCCCCCCCCCCATCCAATCCAACTCCAAAGCTCGGAAATCTTTAAATCTTCTGTACAGTACAGTGGTCCAGATTATACACCACTGTACTGTTTCCCAAGGGTCTACAGGAGATGGCCACAGTTTAAGGAGGAAGAAGTAAGTATACTTGACCCTAAAGAAGATCACAGCCACATGACAGGTACAGCCTTGGATTCTAGTAAATGCATAATGCATCTTTGAAGTGTTACGTTTTCTTTGGAAAAATGCAGAAAATTACTTTATAGCATATAGTCATTAACTGCAATTGTTTGTGTACTTTCAAAATACCCAAACCTCCTGCAGATACTTGTGGATCTGCTACTGATCTAAAGACTGGGTTAATCGGGGAACCCTCTGGACAAAGCTAGATCAGTGTATGCCTGTAGATCTGTATATAGAGTCGTTTCTTGTTGATTGCCATTTTCTCTGTTTTTATCAACCATCACAAGTCTGTGGGAAAATGCAGTGGATGCCAGCTTTGGGTCAGATAATTCTACTTAGACCTCTTAACAATCTGTAATAGAGCCAACACTTGCTTTTTATGCTAATTTTAAGTGTCCCTTTTATGTAGACAGGTGATATCCCCTGTTCATACTGAGATGTATAGTGGTTCAGCATAAAAATGCATATATGTTGACAACCTGTACACTATAGCAAGCTGTGTCTCCTTATTGTAGAGATGGCATGTGCAAATGTGGGTACTCCAAGATGCAACATGTTGAAGGGGCTCAGACCAACCAGAATGATAAGTGGAACTACAAGAAGCACACAAAAGAGCTGCCTACAGATGCATATGGAGATATTCAGTTTGATGCATTTGGAAAAAAAGGAAAGGTATGTTATTATCTGGCTCAAGAATACAGACACAATTTTAAAAGGCAACCATCTTGTACAAAGAAACACAATAGGAAACACATGGCGAAATTGCTCAAACGCACACACAAAAACAGTGTGCTTTGTGCTGTGTTTAGCATTCCACTGTAATGAAAAAATTAAATATATTTGTTTAAAAAATTGTAAAAAAATTTGGCTATGGCATTAGCCTGCGCTTGTGCCTGAGCCCTCATCTTAAAGCTTCCTTGAGCGGGCCACCTTGTTTAGTAGAATGGTGAAGTATGGGGAAGTTGCCTGGATGTATTTAAGGAAACATGTAAAATCATTTGTACTGCTTTAATCTAGGATAATATTAGTGTAACAACTACTCAGATAAAAAAATATATATTTTGGTTGTTGGAAAACAAACATGTAATTTATAAGAAAGACAAGTTCAGGACACTTTTGGATAAGATCATATTGTCTTAAATGTACAGTATGGGGCACTACTAAATAACATTTATGTAACAAATATCCCAGTTTGAATTTTCACTGTTGGCTAAGTGTAGTCTAGCAGTCTACTATAATTATGAGTAGTCAATAACTAAATCTATAACGAAAGTGATTTTATTGCCTGCATGTTAAATGATTGTATCTTCCCAGTGTGGTACAGCATAATTACTGCACAGAGCAGTCTGCATATTACCATAGTTCAAAACTGAAGCTAATTTTCTGAGCAATGTGTAAATTAAAGGACATGTATGCAGATAATCCAGTTCTGTGCATCTCTATGTTCCTCGCATTCTTTAACATCTGTAATCAAAACAATGCATCATCATCTTTTAAATTTTTTTTAGCATGAAATATATATTTATAAAAGACGCTACTTATTAATTATAATGCAGCATTTCTCAACCGTTTTTCAGTCACGGCACCGTTTAAAATTATGCACCCCAATCTAAAATGTAATGGATTTTAAGGGGACCCCACGGAAAAACACAATAAAAGTAGGGGTTCCCCCTGTACATCAAAGTTCCTTCCTTAAGCAGAGAAAGGCTGTTATAATGTATCCCTATTATTTCTGTTGCAAGTTTTGTTATTATTCTGAAGGTATTTGTAGATTGTAAACTCTCACAAGCAGGGTCCTTCTAATCCTTTTGTATGGCATTGTATTGTAATTGCAATATGTCTCCCCATATGTTGTAAAATGCTGTGCAAACTGTTGGCGCTATATTAATACTGTATTATAATAATAATAATATTAATTATATTGAAGGTTTACAGATATCAGATGTTTTTGCAGGTACTGTTCTGCATAGTTATTCCCTTTTTATCGTCTCATTTCAGTACATTCGCTTGTCCCGGGACACAACACCAGACACATTGTATGAGCTCATGACCAAATACTGGCAGCTTAAAACACCAAACCTCATCATCTCTGTGACAGGAGGTGCCAAGAACTTCTCTCTGAAGCCAAGAATGCGCAAGATCTTCAGCCGTCTAATTTACATTGCACAGACCAAAGGTAATTCGGGAGACCCCAATACTAGTTCTTTCAGTTATTTCCACCCTGCACATACAAAAATGAGTCTGAAAACATAAGGTTGAATATAATTTAAACATTTGGAGGTATTAAAACATATTTTTAAAGAGTTGGTAGAGGTGGTTTACTTTCAGCTGCAGGTGGATAAATGAAATTGTTTTCCTTTTCACACACTCAGGAGCCTGGATATTTACAGGCGGAACTCACTATGGCCTTATGAAGTACATCGGAGAAGTGGTTAGAGATAACACCATCAGCCGGAGCTCAGAAGAAAAAGTGGTAGCTATTGGTATCGCAGCCTGGGGCATGATCTCTAATCGGGACACACTGATCCGGACTTCCACAACAGAGGTATGTGAATTTAAATTGGCTATATTTTAAATTATTTTATATCTAGTGGTGCTAACATATCAACTCTTGATTTCCTGTAGAGAGTTCAGTAGCTGCTGTGTGTAAAGTCAACATTATTTTCCTGCTTTTATTTTTTAAATGGATTCCCCATTGTAGCAGCTTTGGTCTGAATTCTGGTGAAATCTCTGTGAGGGGAATTTATCAAAACTGGAGCAGACAGAATCTGGAGCAGCTGTGCATGGTAACCAATCAGCATCTATCTTTCATTTTCACAGCTTAACTGAACAAACTGAACAGAGGAGCTGATTAGTTACTATAGACAACTGCTCCAGATTCTGTCTGCACCAGGTTTGATCAATTCTCCCCTGTGTATCTCCATTAAAAGAGGCAGGCTTTTGTGTTGTTATTATGATGCTTGACTGTATTTGTATTAAATACTTAGGGGAACCTTGTATCCTCTGTGACAGGGAAATTATGTGGCTCACTACATGATGGATGAACAGAAGCGAGATCCCCTCTACTTCCTAGACAGCAATCATACACATCTCATTCTGGTGGATAATGGCACCAATGGACATCCAGCTGTTGAGGCTGATCTTAGAGCTTCGTTGGAGAAGTATATCTCTGAGTTAAATGTGCCTGGTACAGGATTCATCTACCTAAGGGTTGATTCACTAGAATATAACACATGTGGTATTTTCATTACTGTGCATTATTTGCAACTTTTAATGACAAAAATATATATTTTTCAATTCTCCTTTATTGCACAGATCAGCTGACTTTACTGTAAGCACCATATTTATAAATGTCTTTGTTATTTTAGGTGTAAAAGTCAGTTCACAAAAATAATTGGGCAGGTTATTGCTGCTTAAGCTTTGTAACTACAGGCTGGTGATTACTTTAAAGTGACACTAAACTCAGGAGTTAAAGCTTAAAAATGCATTCAAGTACCTTAACTATTAACAAAAAATGATCGTGTGTATCACTTGGCTGTAGATCCTCAAATCATCTCTGAATTCATCCTGACTCTGTCCTTCCTTCTGGAGTGTGGCTACTTTTCTTCCCCATGGTCCCTGTGTGTGTTGTAAAGTAGCTACCACTCCAAGCTCAGTCCCATGATGGACTACAATCTCACATTTAGTTTACTAATTTCTATTGAGATTGTAGTCCATCATGTGAGCAAGCTTGGAGCAGTGGCTTCTTTACAACACACAGGGACCATCGGAAACAAAAGTAACCACCCTCTAGAAGGAAGGACAGTGTCAGCACCAATTCAGGGATGATTTGAGGATCTACAGCCAAGTGATATCCACATACGATACATTTTTGTTAATAGTTACGGTACTTGAATGCATTTTTAAGATTTAACGCCTGAGCTTAGTGTCACTTTAAGATTCAATAAGGCAGCCGGTCAAGAGAGCAGAAAAGGAGGCCATTGGAGGTGGTGATCAAACCATGATTCAGGAGGTAAAATTATTCATGAAAAATGAAGCTTTTAGGGCTTGAATGGCTATTCCTAGACAAAAAATAAGGAGTGGCCATATTTGTTTAAGCAGGTTTTTATGACAATAGGTCTATTAAAATGGCAACACAAAGGACACAACAGAAAAAAGTACCACATTATAGGAGTCATTTAGAGAGTAATTAAAGAATGATATCTACCTTGTTTTGTTTTGTTCTGATAAGATTTATTCTTTCTACAATAAAAAAAACAAAAAAAACCCTTTAGCACATAAACACTACATTCTTACCCTGGGCTGGCTGTGGATAAGATTTTGTTGTGGTGATGATGTGTGATACCAGAAAGGATAAGTGGATCTCACAGCAACCATTGTTCTCTGTGACAATCTTCTGAGCTAGTTGTCCTGTCATTATTTAAATTAATATTCATCAGTAATTACTGTCTGCTCTAGACAGAGCTAAAATCAATGCCAGATACAATTATAATTAATAATTTCCAAAACTTTTTTGTAGCAAATGCAGGTTATGACATCAATACATTTGCATATGAAGTCGCTGAACTTTCTGATGAATGCTAAACTTCATCTCTGTCGACTTTTGGGCATAGATGTGGTTGATCATCTTGGTCATTTGATAATGACTTCCCAAACCACCTTAATTCAAAGGCAATCTGATTTGCCACTGGGGTTACAGAATATTCCTGAAAGTTCCAAACTGGAATTACATTGAAACAGTGACATTCAGAACCTTTTTACATAGACAAGTTACAAAATTCCTAATTAGATAGAATACAATTGATTACATACACATACATCTGTACTGTGAGATGAGCTAAATGCAAATATATCATTTAATTATGTAATTTAAATTTGTTTTTGTGCTTGGCTATCTGCAGATTCCAATTATGGTGGAAAAATCCCTATTGTATGTTTTGCTCAGGGGGGTGGAAAGGACACACTGAAGGTGAGTTCAGATTGTACAAACATTGCACTAAATGTTTACTTGCTTGCACTATAAGAAAGTTTAGGGATCTATCACAAATCATCATTGTCCTGTATTCTTATTAAAAATAAAATACATTTGTGTTATTAGTTAGGGTACTTGAATGTATTTAGGATGTATTAAGATTTAACTTCTGAGTTTAGTGTCAATTCAACCATATGCAGCTATAGCAAACCACACAACGGCTATAGGGGGCCCAGCAGCAGAGGGGCCCAATACTGTCTGGTGACAGAAACAGGAAGGATGTCATTGCTGACTTCTTTTTCTGAAAGTGCTAGTTTCCTGACTGTTATGCTGAGCCTGTTGCTTCAATACCTTCAGCTACTAATCTTGAACAAGAACATAGATAAGAAAATCTTTTTTTGCCCACTTTCCTCATCCGCATATTTGTTCTGGGATAATGGTTGGCTACAGCATTACTGTTTTATAGCGAAAGTCCGAACTAGAGAAATAAATGCAGTGTTAGCAGCTCCCATACCTCTCTTGTCACAGGTTTACATTAATTGACTAAAGATGATGTACTTTGTTAAATGTTAATGCTGCTCCACAAGCATGGTCTTTGTGTTTTATATATTTCCCATCCATAAATGATTTCTACATATTTGGTAATATAATTCCACTGAGAGCTTGCTTATCTCTACACCTAACTCCTTCTTGCTTTCAAACAGGCAATAAATACAGCAGTCAAGAGTAAAATCCCATGTGTAGTGGTGGAGGGATCCGGGCAGACTGCTGATGTCATTGCCAGCTTAGTGGAATCTGAGGGCACTTCTTCTCTAGCATCATCTGTCATTAAAGAGAGGCTGGTGAGATTCTTGCCTCGCACTATAGCTCGACTGGCAGAAGATGAGATGGAGACATGGATAAGATGGGTACATCCTACAATTCATTTTTACTACAGATAAAATTTCAATTTTGAGGCATATATGTTCAGGTGCTTTGTGATCCAATACTACTCTGTGAACTCTGTGAGCGTTATTTTATACTTGCAGGTCTGGTATGCAGTTTTTTTAATATATACATTTGTCAATGATCTTGGATGTGAATTAATGATTTATTATAATTTTTAAATATAATCAAAACAACAAATTGTATTTTAATAGGCCCTAAGGGTGGTGGGACACAGAACTTTATTTGTTCAGGATAAGTGGACACCAATTATTCACATGCAGTGGTGGGACAAGGACCCAGCTGTTTGAATAGTCAAAGATAGTAAGGATTTGGTTTTGTTTTACTCTAAACCATGCCCCAAATATAGATCCCAATTACAATGCTAAGTGCGTTGGCTTGGTCTAAAATGTAAAAATAGTGCCTAAAGTAGGCCTGCAAGCACCTGTGTTATTCTTCTAAGCAATTCCCTTGGGGCTCCTTGTATCCTTGCACCCAGACTGTACATGTGCCTAATGGGCCTCTGCTCAAGTCAGACCTCCTACTCCTTGTTAAGCCCATCTTTGTAATAAACTTTTAAATATCAGAGTCTCTGATGAAATCCGGCATTTCACAGTATACTCATGGGGCAGAGGTTTGTTGCATGGTGGGACATAATGTGTACTAGGCAATATTTTGTGTGGTCAGGGAGGATTCTATTTGATATGATAGATCAATCTACTCATCCTTTTGTTAAAAGAGAACTATGGGGTAACCTTTTCTATCCAACGGTTCTCTTTAGGGTCATGGGAGGACATATACTAATCTCCTTCCATGACTCAAAACTCCGTATATAGCAGGGTTATGCCCGCTATATGCTGAGAGCGCAACAGCTGGGACGGATCCTGACAAGACTGTTAAGATCCACCCCACTGGCTGATTGACAGTGGGCTCTGCCTATCTAGGGGCAGAGGCAGCTGTGCCCGTCCTCTCCCCATCTGTCTTTCCAGTCAGTGCTGGAGGATCGCAGGGGGGAAGGGGGGAATCCCTGTGGGGAGCAGTGACTGATGGTCACCATTCTCTGCAGGCAGATGATCGGCAAGTGAGCGAATGGCGGTATGTTTTCCCTCACTTCCCGATCAATAGAGCCGATGTATGGCAATTTCAATGTCACATGTCAGCTCTAACAATAGGAATGAGTGTAATTCACTCACCCCATAGTTCTCCTTTAAGTGTAGAATGTATGTTAAGGAATATCTGAAGATCTTGACCAAGGGTCATTGGGTATTTCCATGAGTTTATTATAGACTATCCAGTTATAAATTGTGCAGATATTGATTACTGAATGATGTGTACATAAACCTAAGGCTGGGCACGCACCTTACAACCATCGCAAGACTTTTCTTGCGATGGTTGTAAGGTACTTAAAAAAACGTACAATCTGCCTATCTTGCATAGGCAGATCGTACTTGCGATGATCGCAAGCCATGCCCCCTGAGGGGCGGGCTTCCGATGACTGCAATGCCGAACGGGCAGTGTGCGCTTGCGCACACCGGCCCGTAAGGCTTTTATCGTACGGACATGCCACAAACCCGCCGAACGTCGTACGATGCTCGGCGGGTTTTCGAACGTGTCCGTAAGTTAAAAGTCGTGCGACCTTACAGTAGTAGAGGTCGCACGGCTTCCACACACCTTACGATAATCGTACGATCGCGGGATTTCCAGCGATTATCGTACGATTATCGTAAGGTGTGTGGGGACCTTATGGAGCATATTAATGAAGCAGTGAATGGTGGTGTCCAATGGACTTGCAAACGGTCGTCTCAACTGTCAGGTGATTTAGATGACAAAAAGCTATAGAGAAGCCCAGGAATTGAGTGTCCTATACTTTATGGAGTAGATTGTGTACTTCACCCACCTTAACTTTTGCCTATGATTTTCGAAACATTTCTTGGTGCATTAAAAGTGAAAGGAGAATCCATTTTTTTCTGTAAAAAAGGGAAATAACCTCAATTGGTCTAAGACATTAACCAGCATGTTTGGGGCACATTAACATGCATTATAGCAAGGGTTATGGGGGCATTTATTTGAATGGGATGCCTAATGCATCAGAAAGCACAAAAAATGTGCCAGTGCATTACCATTATTTGCTGTGTTTTGCAATGCAGAAGTGTGTTGGGAAAGTGCAGTGAGTGACTAATGCAAAAATGTGCATTGCCTTATTTTGAGGTAACGTGCGTGTTACTCCAACGCAACAGTGTAAATCTTGCTGAAGGGTTTCTGTGATTGATGGTGCCATGATGCATCCAGTCTTTATTTATCCCTTATCTGCATTACCTATTATTTTGTTTTTGATCTTTGGATTGGTTGAGTTGCAAACAAAATTGTGCTACGGTATGTATGGTTCGCATCAGATTAATCATCAATTTGCAATCTTTCTCTAAAAGCAGGATTATATTTAGTGTTTCAAGTAGAGATCAATGGAGAATCTAAAACTCTGGGCTAGCAATTTGCATTGCTGTCTGACCAAGATTTAACCTGTTAATTATATGGGTTCTCTCATGCTGCTCCTGGAAAACATTACATGATGGAAAAAGTCATTTTATAGGTCAGATGTACATTAGCTTTTATCTCCCCATATCCTCAGATGTCTCTTTTTCTCCAGACCTGGGCGAAAGCTGTACTGCAGGTCCCAATAACAACTGTGTACATGAAGTGCTTCTAATAATCATTGTTATAAATGGATGAATTTGTAATTAAGGTTTTATTGTCCAAAGAGAAGATGCTTGTGTTCTTGTTATAGTACGCATACTTCCTCTATTAGGATGGCGCATGATGCTTTTAAAGGACAGACACACCACTCTGTGTGCCTAATAAGAGTCCAATATTCCATTTTACTATGTATAGCACTCTAAGGCATTACCCTGTATCTACAATGGTCATATGTTTTAATCATCCCTGTGCTGTTAGTGTAGAACTAAATAGCTATTGCAAAGATTATATGTATTAGCATGCATTTAATTGTTAGCTACTTTTATTATCAACCAGAGCCATAGCTTGCTCCTTTTACACCCGAGGCAAGAACAGAAAATTGTGCCCCCACCCCCACAGGCGTGTGATATGACTCGACGCCGCTAACGTCATGCGCCCTGCCTCCAGGATGGCGGCGTGCATGCACAGAATGCACTGGTGGCCAAATTAAAAATAGCATAAAAATTTGTTTTGTTTGAGGAAACTAATTGTGTTTGTGCTGCCCACAAAGGATCAGTAAATATCACTGATATTCACCGATCCTCCACCCTGCCGTCTTATTCACTGAAGCCAGCGGGTTTGGCGCAAGGAGAGAGCGCTGGAGTCGGAGGAGTGGAGGGGGGGATGGGGGTGGGAAGAGGGAGTACTGACACTTCAGGATGGCCAAGCAGTGAGGAGAGAAAGAGCCGCCGGCTGTCAGATCCTGGCCGGGCTGCTCTCTCCTCACCGCTCGGCTATCCTGAATGACAGCTCCCTCCTCCGCCCTGGCTGCAGTATTCCATTTTTCATCCGATCCCCACTGCCTCTACCCATACAGGTGGGGGAGAGCAGCAGGGATCCGAGGAGAAGCTGGAGCCTGTACCGCCCCTCTTCTCCCTACCGAGCCCTGGCGCCCCTGTTCCCATGGCGCCCTGTGCTGGCCATGGCAACAGGGGTGAGGGGATGCAGCCAGGCGGGTCCTGGCTCCGCCCCCTCTCAGCTGCACCTGAGGCGAGTCCCTCACTCGCCTCATGGTAGCTATGGCCCTATTATCAAGTGTATCATCAGTGCGTATTGAACTGGGATTGGGAACAGCTAACAAATAGCCATCTGCTGGCATCTTGCTGGCCAGTATGCTTTATAATGGACCAATAGCCATTATGCATTGAACAGCCCACTGACCAATATCACTGACAGATCCCTTTTTAAGAACAGTTAAGTCTCTGTTAAATTAATATGCCATTTAACACTATCAAAACACTTCAGAGGAATCATGAAACAACGTTAGACTTAGAGGGTTATTCACATAGCTGCCAAAGGCAGTCAAGTGAATAACCCAACCGAAGTGAAGTGAGCCGAATGTTGTTCGGCTATTCACTTCTGCTCAGCTGACTTCAGCTGCCGTATATCGGCTAAAATCAGCTGTACAATGGCTGCCTTCGGTCGGCTGAGCCGAAGTGCAGGAGGAGTCCAACATCTGGATCGGCTGAGCCGAAGTACTGGCACTTCACTCGCTGCTGTCCGCCCCTATGAGAGTTACCAAGCAGAATAGAAAATAAGTGAAATAAAGAAAAGAAAAGTTGTTTTAAAATGTATGAAAATTAAAAAAGAAATTAAAATAGTTTAAAGAAAATTAAAAACAGATAAAATGAAAAATAATTTAAAAAAAAAGCCTGCAAAAATGTCGGCAAAAGAAAAAGTAGTGGGCGGAGCTAACACTGACAGCTAGCTTCCTCCAACTGTTTCCTATTGGCCAGCACCTGTTAGAGTCTTCTAGCAGGTCCCGGCCAATGAATAACAACTGGGCGGAGCCGGCTGTGACGTCACGGCCGGCTTAGCCCAGTTGTTATTGTTTAATTAAAGATCAGAGTCCCCAGGTCATTTCAGGACGCTAATCTGTCATTCCACCTGGGCGGAGCCAGCTGTGAGATCACGGCTGGCTCCGCCCAGCTGTCATTTGGGGGGAGAACAGCCGGCCTTTCGGCAGGCCATTTGCCGCACTTCGGCTGTCAATTTGGCTCAGTCGAGCCAAAGCATATGCATTTGGCTCGGCTGAACCACTCGGCCGCCTTCGGCAGCTGTACGGGCTATTGTGAATTTAAGAGAATGTCTATTCATCAGCAAACACAGTGCAAACAACCACTTTACACAATATCTCATAGTTAATGGCCCACAATTCACTGGTATTAGTCTGATTACTATACTGAACTGCTGACAACTACGATTGGCTTATAATTACATTATGCTGTTTAAACAAAACAATTATCTTACATGGAAAACTGAAAACACATTTTTGTGAATTGCGCCATAGAAGTAGACAGTCAAGCAACTTACCCACTACTGTTTGATTAAAAATAATAGAAATGTGTTATGGATTAATGCTATATTTTTGCAGATTAAAGAAATAATGGAACAATTCCATCTTCTGACTATAATTAAAATTGAACAGGCTGGCGATGAAATAGTAAGCAATGCTATCTGTTATGCTCTGTATAAAGGTAAGTGGGCAACACCATGATTTACGGTATGCTACTGGTCCTTTTAGGCACTATTTTACACATTGTCTACCACTCTAGTTAAAGCAAGATACTAAATTTACTCCTTTTATTTTTGGATTGTCTTAAAGTAGAACTATGGCCTCCTATTAAAAAAATGTACTGTAGCACTTAAAGCCCAGGTAATGCAGCTTTCTGTGATAGTGTGGCAAGGTACGTCCCTAGACTTTTCGTCACCTGAGGCCCGGTGGGGGAGCGGTTGTGGTGTGCCTGTGGTGGACATTTGGGGGGCGATTGCGGAGGATGGCACTGGTGGTACACATTACCAGAGGGGATGGGGGCAGGGTAGGTCGTGCATGTTACCTTTGGCTCTGGCATGCATCCTGCCCAGCTCACTGATGTCACTGGCTGCCAGGAGCTGGGCAGGACGCCAGCTAGAGCATCACAGGTTGCTAAGAGTTCTTAGACACCTGGGACGCTCTGCCCAGAAAGGACAGGAAAGGCCCATGTGACCCAAAGAGATGCCATCTGAGGCAACAGGCTTATGCTGCCTCATTTTAGGGACAGTCCTGAGTGTGGCAACAATGCATCACTGCTCTTGAATTCCACTGCATTGTTGCCACATGCTTGCACTACACTGGGATGAAAAGATGTTGCAGCATGGCCAGTAGCATTATCACTGCTGTTTCATAAGCCTGCAGCTTGTCAGTCATCACCTGGCCACATCTAGCCCTGCCCGGTGCTTTCTGGATTGACAGCGCTTCCTTGTTTGTGCTTTATAAGGCTTGTGTATCAATAGTAACTGGATATGGCATGTGTCATATAGGAGCCTTTAGTTGTACTTTGATATCACATATAAATATGTTGCATTTCTATCTGGAAATGAAAATGTCTGACTTTAGAATACCTTATCTACTAATGATGCTGTAATGTTTATGACTCTTTTTTTAAGTTCCACGAGTTATCCTTACAAACCCTTTGCTATGGTTTTATTGACAAGGAACTATCTATAAGGCAACAATTTTGAACAATACTTTAAACCACTAATAGAGCTACCAATGCTGTTTAGCTATATTAAATAAATGCTGCAAATCAGAAAGTGTGCCCAATTTACAAAATTCTGGTTTCTCTACTTTCTGTTACACACAAATGCATACTTGTGAGATAGGAGTAAGCATTTGCACAATAGTATTAAGCAGGGAAAAGAGATTTCAGCAATCAGATTATTACCAGTCATGATTTATGCCCCTGGGCTACTTATAGGGGTTCCAGCAATGCTTCAAATTTATATTTGTTACAAGAATATGTGCTCAATATACATGGAGTTCTTATAACTTCTTAAACGAGGTCACTGATCTTTGTACATACACAGATTTTAACACACTTTTTAGTATTCACTGTAATCCACACGTAAGATTAACATTCATAAGGTTGTAAACACTTACACTTATTATACATAATGCTGCTGGTTGTAAATAAGTTTTCCCATAGCGCACAACAGTTCTAACTTCTAATTCGTTAGAAGTTGCTAAACATGTAGCCGTTTACAACCTTTGTGGTGGGTCTGTTAGCCAAGAGACCAAAGGTCTGCTAGGTTACCATCTATTTCTAAAAAAATGTTGATATAACATTGTTTCAAACTGTTTACCCTTTGTTTCATTCACAAAAGCAACTGAACTTTTACTTTACAAGGATTTTAGGATATTTTTCTGCAGTTATTTCTTTTGATTACAGCTTTCAGCACCAACGAGCAGGATAGGGACAACTGGAACGCACAGCTGAAATTGCTGCTAGAGTGGAACCAGTTGGATCTTGCTAGTGAAGAAATCTTTACAAATGATCGGCGATGGGAGGTATGGTTCATTAGGCTGTCATTTTGCACAACACATGTTTGTGGCATCTTTTGGTAAAATATATTGTACTTGGCTCATACCTACCATTTAAATATGAATACTTTTTCAGTAATTATGGGCAACAACAGGCCTAGACTGCCTGCAGGCTTCTATGTTCTGCTTCAATCAGCCCTGAAACCAATACATTATTTAAGATTCTCCCTTATCACTAATGACAATAGATACATACAACTGGCATTGCACCTGAACTAATAATGAAGGAGACTGCTGAGATGATGGCTCATGACTAACTTTAATGGTGGTCACTGATTTGGGCTCATGCTAATTATTGGAGGTTTGTAAAAAAAAATTAGTTTGACCAAAAGAGGACCTACCTTCAAAAGATTACCTACCCCATTATCTTGTCCAGCCCCCTCCCTTAAAGCCATAAAAGGATTCAGAAGCCACAAAACACTTGCCTTCAGAGTAGACTGCTGCTTTGCAACCTAATCGCAGTTAATCACATGGCCAAATGCCAACCTATTTAGTCCCCTGACTGTATAATTCTACTCAGATGTACTGTTCTCTTGTTTTTATTAGTCAGCTGACCTAGAGGATGCTATGTTTGCCGCACTGGTAAAGGACCGTCCAAAGTTTGTTCGTCTTTTGCTGGAGAATGGTCTAAATCTACGCAAGTTTCTGACCAGTGAAATCCTTAGTGAACTTTTTTCTCAGCATTTTAGTACCCTAGTATTTCGTAATTTGCAAATTGCCAAAAACTCTTACAATGACACCTTACTCACCTTTGTCTGGAAAATGGTATTGAACTATCAAAGAAACCGCAAAGAAGAGAGGAACAGCTGTGATGAATCAGAGATACAGGTAAGATCACATTTGAGTGACGCCATTATGCATATACTGACCTTTCAAGGATCTGCAAAGAAAAATGGATGGACAAATCCATAGTGAACCATCACAGGTTTAGTGTTAAAGTAAACCTTATAGTATAGCCGCCAGGGCTCAAAATTTCCACTCGCCCCCTCGCAAATTGTGAGTGAAAATTGCGTGGGGGCGGGTGGAAATAAAGCTATCGTGTCTGGCACTGTCATGGACAGAGGCAGCTGCTCGTCCAGCCATAGATCATCGATCAGCAGCTCCTCCTCAGCTCAGAGCACGGAGCTGACTAGGGGAAGTCCTGGCTGTTTGCATTGCACATGCTCAATGCAAGTTTTCTTTCTCAGAGAGTGTCAGTGTTCCCAGGGCAACCCGGCCGGCCCTGGCTCTGAAACCCGATCTTTCTGTGCAACTGTGAGTAAACTCTGCAGAAGTTAGAGCAGTGATTAACCCCTACTGTGCCACAGGATCTATACAGTTTGGACACACAAATGTATTGATTAATATGAGCAAATGTGTTTGTGTAATGCCCTGCTTGTAATGCCTTGCGTGTAATGCTGTTGGTATGCCCTGCGTGTAATGCTGTTGGTATGCCCTGCGTGTAATGCTGTTGGTATGCCCTGCGTGTAATGCTGCTGGTATGGCCTGCGTGTAATGCTGCTGGTATGGCCTGCGTGTAATGCTGCGTGTATGCCCTGCGTGTAATGCTGCGTGTATGCCCTGCGTGTAATGCTGCGTGTATGCCCTGCGTGTATGCCCTGCGTTTAATGCTGCGTGTATGCCCTGCGTGTAATGCTGCGTGTATGTGCTGCGTGTAATGCTGCGTGTATGCCATGTGTAATGCCCTGCGTGTAATGCTGCGCGTATGCCCTGCGTGTTGTGCTGCGCGTGTTGTGTCATGTGTGTGTGTGTTTGTGCAATGGCCGGTATTGGTCCAGCAAGAGAATTATTAGTTTGTTCCCAGGTACACTCGGTGTATCTGTGCACAAGAAGAATAGGATGGAGTGGGGTCAGGTAGGGCAACTGGTGACGAGTAACTTTTAAGGCCTGGCTAGTAGCTCAGGACCTGAAATTTTGAGCCCTGCCCTAATGCTCAATGTGTTGTAGACCAGACAGCATAAATCCCACCTACCTATTGATCCCTAAATGAGAGAAGGTTGGTCTCTTTGACCTATAAGAAGCTCAGGATGCTGGAGGGCAAGTCCAATCTCAACTTTTGCAGAAAGTCCAGATTTGCATATATTTGATTTATGGAGTTTTGTGATCCAACATGGATTAATTTTCTTTTTTTTCCATTAAAATAGTAATTCAGATGCTAGCTGCATAAAAAACTAAACAAGCAACTAGGAGGACATTTCCCTCAAGTGGCTTTAACCCCCTAACTGTCAGAAATAATCAGTTAGAGTAAGGACCTGTTAGGCAGCTACTGGGTTCAAGATGGGATTAATGAAAATACTTCCATCAAGTAGCTGACTGGCACACAGATTGGATAATACAGATCCTAGTAGTCACAGTGTCGGACTGTTGGGCCACAAAACCTCGTCTTTTGTTGTTTTTAGTTAAATGATCAGTTTGAAAATACAGGTTTGCTTTAATATAATTAATAACTGTAGTGTTTTGGTTATGGAAATAAAAAAATGCAAACATAAAAATGTAACAGATAAAATATAAAGCTGAACATTTTGCTTACCTCAATTTTAGTCAATGCTTGACCTTGTTCTACATTTCAAAATCTGGTAAGAGAAAATTCTATGTTCCATTCATTGCAGTCATTATTTGGATGCCTGCTTTTCATATCTGCTGACCATTTACAAAGCTCCACCCCGATCATTGTCTGTGAGCACCTACTACTGGTTAATGACGATTTGTCTCCAGTTTTTTCCATATTCATATTTTTATCTCCATTACTCATAACTGTTAGTGCATGCCATGGAAAAATAAACACAATGCATAACTGAAGAGCTAACTCACATTTTGAATGATTGACAAAAAATAAGTGTTGTAAAGATCAATAATTTAACATATTAACTTTTTACTTCAATCAGGATCTCACACCAATAATCAAACATCCCATCCAGGTTTTGTTCATATGGACCATCCTGCAGAACAAGAGAGAGCTGTCTAAAGTAATATGGGAGCAGGTAACATAGCGTTGCTTTACAGTAACACAAACTACTTTGTGAACACTGCAATAAAGGGCCATTCTACCTGTAATTGGTAATTATGATATTGGCATGCTCAGAAAGGCCTAATCCTCCATGTCACTTTGGACCTTCATTGGTGAGCTTTCCCTGCTGAAGCTTTCAGGTCTCTTTTGCCCTGTGAAGAGTCCCAGTCAAGCCTCACTCTAAAGACTTTACATTATGATCACAATAAAGAGACTTTGATAGGGAGGGGAGAATGCTGCAGGTGTGAGGCAGACAGTTTTACCTGCAACCAGTTTTCTAAACTTCCCATCACAGTTGAATCTTGGGCCATTCTGACAGACAAAGCATCAGCACATGCTGAAGCTTGCCTTCCACTTCTTATCTCCTTCAGATTACTGTTGGTCACTGAGGCTGACAATTATATTAATAAAAGACATTATAGAAATACCAAACACATACCAGACACTCTCTCCTCAGTGCAGCTCAGTAACACTGAGTCTGATAAAATCACAGTCTTAGCATCACTGAACTCCCTACCTGGCTACTCTACCTATCACGCAGAGAGGCGCAGCAGCCGAGGAGTGTTGCCGAGGGTGAACAAAGCCAGATGGTGGACTCTGAGAGACTAGTTCCCCATCAGGTCTTCCTCCATTGTGACTGACAGTAAATGGTTGTGGGCAGATTCTATAGCCCCATTGCGATATTTGGGTAATGATGTCCAGCCAGCATGCCTTGCCCCATTGGTTTACATTCAGCTGCTGGCTGGGGAATTAGCACATACATGCCCTACTCTGAGCATGGAGCCTTTCTGTATACCAGCTCAGAGGTTCTAAATTACCGCCAATTTACTAAACAATAAACGGGCAGTAATTCTGTTTGCATCTGTCGCAGCCATAGTGATAGGTTCTTAAAGTGGTGGTAATAAAAGCTACCTAAATCTATCACAAGTGTTGGAACTACAAGCAAAACTGTTGCAAGGTTTTCATGAACTAGGCACACATTGTGCCACCAGAAAAATGTCATAAATGCTTTACTGAATTTGCCCCCAAGGTCTGTTGATATTCCTGAAATTCCTGTCCTTTCTGACACAGAGTAAGTAAGGATATTTCTCCTAGATCAGATCACGGCTATAAAAAGTGGACAGAGGTTCCAACCCCTCTTCATCTAAAACTAAAAAATGTTAGGATACCATTGGATCTATAATTTAGGTCTGATTTAGTTTTGTACTTTTTGAAACATGGAAACTCATAGTGCTTATTTTCTTGCAGTCTTCTATTACAGAAGAAACAACCTTGGGACATGTAAAATATTGCTAAAATGTGTCAAGTCCTGTGGGATCATAGGAACAACATCAAAAAGAGCCCTGGGTTGACCCATGAAAGGTCCTGAAAACATGGTCTTGTGTGTCTGCTAATGCTTTGTTGTAGCCAATTACTCAGCCCATAATGGGTTTTGCCACCATTTGCACCAATTTCTGTTAGTGTATTGTTAATGCTGTGCTTTATTGCTTCTAAGAAACAAATGTCCAAGTTATCATGCCTCTAGGGAATGTATCAGCAGAAATTTTCTAATTCTTACTGTGAATGTTTCCAAATCGGCTCTCCAGGGAAATCAAGGTTTACTGTTCAATTGTATAAATGTATAAAGGTCTAGGATTGTGTTCACTGAATCACATGAAAATGCCTTTCATCATTCTCCATCTATTTCTAACACTATTTAGTTTAAATGATCTTTGAATACCTATAATGTCTTACCTATTATTTTTCCCAAGATAAGGGGATGTACCCTGGCTGCTCTGGGTGCTAGCAAACTGCTTAAGAGCCTGGCTAAAGTAAAAAATGACATCAATGCTGCGGGGGAATCAGAGGAGATTGCAAATGAATATGAAAACAAAGCAGTAGGTAAGAGGTAATATAAGCTGTCATCACTGATAGGCACTCATGGCCTGACAGGTGCTAGTGGTGCTAGCGATAATTAGACTGTAAAAAGGTTAACAAGAATGCATTAACAAGTGTGCAAGAATCATAGAGGGCTTTGAGTTAACATGTATTTTTTGCTGATCAGACTAAAAATGTAATGTTTATTACAGCCTCATAACAATTTATAAAGACCCACACATTAGTGAAGTCATAGTCGATGAGGAGGAGCTGAGTGTTTGTTTAAATGGTAGTTTATTATGTAGTACCTATCCCCTAAATAATTGGCTGCAAATCCGAGTATTTGGGCTTGTCTCATACAAGTCTGTGGGAGAGAGGGACAGAAGTTGGAAGTGGATTTGGACCAGAATTGAAACCACTTGCATAAGAAAATGAAGACCATGTAGCTAATATCATTTACGCAATTTGCGTCCCTTCTCTGCTCCTCCTTGGTTTAGTAAAATTTGGGTTTTCTTAAAAATCAAACTGGGATGCACCTAATTTGAGTTTACAATGTGCAATGTGTATTAAAGAGAGACTAAACTCAGGAGTTAAACCTTACAAATGCATTTTGTACCTTAACTGATAACAAAACTGTTCCTTATTTGTGTATCACTTGGCTGTAGATCCTCAAATCATCTCTGAATTCATGTTGACACTGTCCTTCCTTCTGCAGGGTGTCTACTTTTGTCCCCCATGGTCCCTGTCTGTGTTGTAAAATAGTCACCGCTCCAAGCTCATTTGCGTGAAGGACTACAATCTCAATACAAATGGTAAACTAAACATGAACTTGAAGTCCATCACGGGAGAGAGCTTATAGTGGTGGCTACTTTACAACACACACAGGGACTATGGGTAACAAAAGTAGCCATCCTCCAGAAGGAAGGACAGTGTCAACATGAATCCAGAGATGATTTGAGGTTCTGGAGCTGAGTGATACACAAATAACCTACATTTTTGTTACTAGGTAAGATACTTGAATGCATTTTTAAGATTTAACTCCTGGGTTTGGTGTCACTTCAATTACCAACATGGCAGCTAAGAAGCTGAGCAGAACAATGTAACAGTGATTAGCACAGTGGCCTTGCAGTCTACATGTCCTGGGTTCAGATCCCACCAGACATGGCATGTAGTATTTTTTTCCAAGGATTGCCTGGGGTTTTTTTTCGTGCTTTCTTTAGGCAGCCTGATAGATGTTGGTAGAAAGACTTTGGGGGAAATGTATCAAAACTGGGACAGACAGAATCTGGAGCAGCTGTGCATGGCAACTAATCAGCTTCTCTCTTCAGTTTGTTCAGTTAAGATTTGACAATGATCCACAGCTGCTCCAGATTTTGTCTGCTCCAGTTTTGATAAATTCTCCTCTTTTTATTTTACACCCAAAGGCCCTAGTTTGTATGACTGCTTTAGGCCATTGTCTCTGGCCTTCCAATTGATTGAGGCCTGTCCATAGTCATTTAGAAATGTATTCTCTGTATAAATAAAAGTTGGCGTGTATGTATAACCACATAGAAGCTTGCATTTAATCATTGCTAATATACCTGATGCCCCAAGGATCATTTAAGCTCTGTCTATACAGAGTTCATAAAATTGCTCCCTGGCCAGAAGAGTATTTATGTGTAATGGATTTAGATTAATATTTTATGCCATTTGTTCTGCATAAGGTGAAGCTTTATAGGCTAGACACTGGGTGTTCTCAGAACAATAAGCTGCTTATATTTTATTAATAACAATTATTAAACTTAGCTTGGTTTCTATTTTTAACACACTGAAAATATAAACTTGCATGGTTATAATGAAAATGAATACTGGAGCCCATTAAAGTGGACCTGTCAATAAAATGCATAAATATGTAGGATGTAAGCATTACCAAAACACAATAATAACACTTTAAAAAAGTACCTCTCTTTCTGTAAACTTGCAAATATGTGTACAATTCTTGAATGGTTAATTTGGTATTATGATGGTAATGCTAAGAGTACCTTGGGGCAGCAGGGAGCAGAGGGGCAGCAGGGGCGTGGAATTCCTATGTCCCGACAAGCAGTTTTGTTTTTTACATTTAGCCCTGCTTTGGGCAAGCAGGGCTAAATATACAGCGGGGAAGCCGCGGGGGGGGGGGCATCATGTTTAATAGACTGATTTTAAAAGCTGCAGAATTTTAAAAATAACAGATAGATAATTATCACAGCACATGCACAGCTACCATTTTTTTTGTCACAAACAACCATGCTGCACCACCATTTATTTGTGATTTGTACTTTACACTTCTCTAACATGGTCTGTATATGCCCACTCTTGTGTAGCAGAGTCCAATAACATGCAGAAGCTGGCAAGTGAGAAAAATAGAATGAAGTTAGTGGTGCATTAGGCGAGTGTTGGCTAAATAATAATAGGGATAAAGCTGTATCAGCCTCTCAGATATTGTGTTTAATTGGTTTAGAGCTGTTATAAAATGAAAAATGATCATGGGTGTAATGGGTCACTGCGCTTTCAGCATTGTTCTTTGTCTCATTAAATAAGCCGGAGTACATTGAAAGATATGCACGTTTGTAACAGAATTTCATTGTAGCAGAAAAATGTATTAGGCTACTATGGCCTTGCATGCCATTGTCATTAAGATTACAAAAGGATTCCACAAACAACACATATTCAGCATTGGGTGAAAGCACTTGGTATGCATTGGCTCATTTAAGCCATCCTGATATTACTCTCTATTTCCTGTGCTGGACATGGTTGTGTTTTGGATCAACTTGGACAAAGAACCAGTGGGAGAGAGCATGTTAATGATAAAATAAACATGTGCTTAACTTATGGCAGCCAACTTGAAATGAGAGTTTACTTTAGCTGCACTAATTTGATATTCTTTGCTTTGTGTTGATGCGTCTCATATCTTGTTACTGTGCTTTGCTAAAAAATAAAGCCATTTGTATGATGCATTTACCACATATCCATAATCCTGTTACTGGTCTAGAGCTATTCTCAGAGTGCTACAGCAATGATGAGGATTTGGCAGAGATGCTGCTCGTGCATTCCTGTGAGGCCTGGGGAAATAGTAATTGCCTTGAGATGGCTGTAGAGGCAAAGGACCAGCAGTTTATAGCTCAGCCAGGTGTACAGGTAAGACACAAGCATACAAAATACATAGAAAAGTAAATCAAACAGTAAACATTTTGCATCTTAAGTCCCAGAATCTACTCCATAGCTCTAATTTAGATCCTGACATTCATCTTATGCAGTAAATTGGCCAGTTCACTGAGTTCCTATGGCTGCCAGAATCTTAATTTTCCTAATAATCCTGAATAGGGATGAGCTACTGGTTTCACTATAGCAAACTTTTGCCAGGAGTAAGGATCTAAGTCTGTACTCTGCTTCATTTCATATCTTTCCTTTTTCTGAACCGTTGGGGTTGATTTATTAAAGGCAAGTAGACTGTTCATTTTGCAAGGGGATTTTCACTTAGCTTAGTGAATGTGGTGAAAGTCCACTTTGCAAAGAATGCCTGATTGCTTGCAAGGAAAATTTAAACAAAACAGTGTTTTTACTTACCTGTGATTGGATAATGGAAGTCAGCAGAGCTTCTCATTCACTAAGTTAATGGAAAACCCCCTTGCATAGTGAAAAGCCTATTTGCTTTAGTAAATCAACCCAAAGGTATGTTCTCTGCTTGTTATGATTTTAATAATTTTTCTCATAGCATTACCTTTGTCATGATTTACAGCATATGTATAGACATGCCCAACAGTTTCCATTCTCAGCTTTCCTTTTGACCCAATCCATCTCCCATACTACATCTGGTCTCCCCTTGCAGCTCATTTTCTCTCTTTATTTCTACCACAGAACTTTCTTTCCAAGCAATGGTATGGGGAGATTTCCAGAGATACAAAAAACTGGAAGATTCTTTTGTCACTGTTCTTGTTTCCTCTCATCAGCTGTGGATTTATATCATTCAGGTAATTATCTTAACAATTATCTCTAGTCAAACTTTTCTCTAGCTTTGAATCAAGTGAGGGAAAAGTTAGAAACACTGCCAGGTTTTAAATCTTGTCTACATTCATGTTGAGGACATTTTCCTTCACATCCTGTTCTCTTTGTGACTCATCAGCTGGACAGGAAGTGAAAGGGAATAATCTCGCTAACGGAGTCACAGACAGCAGTGTATTTGTTTTATTGCTGTCTGTGTCTCCATTAGGAAGATTTTCCCATCACTTTTGATAGTGTCTGACTCCCATCAAATAGACAGGATGTGAGGGGAATTCCCCTCAAGGAGCAAATGGACAGCACTAAAAACCTGACTCTTCCCCACACTATCCCAAACTAGAAAAAAAGCTCAGCTGTTGGGATTTAAGTCAAACTGCTTCAGAATTACTTCACACTAGAACACAGAACAAAGGGTAGCTTAGGGCTAGTGTGCACAGGCATTTAAAATGTGTTCACCACGCATTGCATTTGCCCTACATCTACATGTGTTTACCATGCGTTTTTCATACAATCACTTTTACTTTTATAATGGCGATAACTGATCTTAAAAGGCCATATATGCTAGCCCTAATACAGTCTACATGTAACTGTATTGTGTACTTACCCATTCATATTTGGGTTCTTGCAGGAAAAAACCAACAGAACCAAAAAGACCCATCTTTTTGAATTACTTGGCTTTCTTCACCTCACCTTTTGTTGTCTTCTCCTGGACAGTCATTTTCTACATTGGATTTCTACTTCTTTTTGCATATGTTCTTCTTATGGATTTTCAGATATACCCTACAGGACTTGAGATTGCTGTCTATATACTGGTTTTTATCCTACTGTGTGATGAGATCAGGCAGGTATGATACCAAAACTGATGATACATAATTAATGTATTCCCACAGGAGTCCTAGTTAATAAAATTATAAAAATAAAAACTGTCTGTGTTAACCACAGCCACCCATCAGATTATTACTCTCACTCTGGGCAGCACAGTGGTGTCGTGGTTAGCGCTTCTACCTTGTAGCACTGGGGGTCCCTGGTTCGAATCTTGGCCAGGTCACTATCTGCAAAGGAGTTTGCATGTTTTCCCTGTGCTTGCGTATGTTCTCCGGTTTCCTCCCACACTCCAAAGACATGCTGGTAGGTTAATTGGCTCCTGTCTAAATTGGCCCTGTATGTGAGATGGGGACCTTAGATTGTAAGCTCCTTATGGGGAAGGGACTGATGTGAATGTGGAACTATGTAAAGCGCTGCGTAAATTGTCGGCACTATATAAATACCTGTAATAAATAAAATAAATATTGCAGCTGTCAGAAAGAGAATTTGATTTGGTGAATATGGGTAATACTGGTAGTTTTGTTTAGCAGCTTTATATACCGTGCGATATTGCTGAGCAACATTATACAAATCAGTGTAACCATGTGAGTTAAAGTAACAACACTCCCTAAAATAAGACCCAAACTGTATGGCCCAACACCTGTCTTTCTTGGTTGTTTGTGGCCAATGTGCCAGATTTAGTTACAAGCAAAGCATAAACTATTACATAGTTCTATCTAGGCTGTTTTAAATCTGAGGGAGAGCTGTTAGCCCTAAAGGGACACTAAACTCAGGAGTTAAATCTTAAAAATGAATTGAAGCACCTTAACTATTTAATACAAATGTTTTTTATTTGTGTATCACTTGGCTGTAGATCCACAAATCATCTCTGAATTCATGCTGACACTGTCCTTCCTTCGAACTTACGTTTAATTAACTAATTTGTATTGAGCTTGTAGTCCATACAAGCTCAATACAAATTAGTTAATTAAACGTAAGTTCGTAGTCCATCATGGGAGCCAGCTTAGAGTGGTGGCTACTTTACAACATACACAGGGACCATGGGGAACAAAAGTAGCCCTCCTGCAGAAAGAAGGACAGTGTCAGCATGAATTCAGAGATGATTTTAGGAATCGTCAGCCGAGTGATACACATATAAGATACATTTTTGTTAATAGTTAAGGTACTTGAATGTTTTTTTAAGATTTAACTCCTGAGTTTAGTGTCAATTTGAGGGTTTGGTAGACATGTAAATATGTTTTTTTATCTGGCTGAAGGAAGTTTAGGATACTTGTTGGTGCTCATGTGTTTGTACTGCTTGTTGATAATTCCATCAGCGTTGAAACTATGCTATGTGATGTACCAGAAAGTGTCCTTTGTGGCAGAAGATTGTCCCCTCTAAGTGTAATAATTCCGGGGTGGTTCAGTATGGATCACAGCTACAGACAAAGTGTTGCCTAAGGCTGCCCATACACCTTGCGATCAAGGTGTATTTGAAGGTTAAGACCAGCTCTGGAATTATTAATATCAAAGTGGACTGGTAGTTAGAAGAGTTGCTGTCATATCTATATCTGTTTGGCGGCGTCAACACCCCTTTTCACAGCTCTTTCAGAATGTCTGGTGGTTTAAGGCCAGACAAATAGTCTGTTTAAGCACTGTTGACTTTTCATTGAGCTTTTGGTTCTACACTGGAACTTAATATGCTGAAGGTTGTGAATTGTGAACAGCCCTTTCACTTCAGGAAGTTTAACTCTTTCCCACCACAACATGCATTGCATTTTCAATGCACTTTAATACAATGAATTGGTGGAAACAGACTGGATTTACATGGGTAAATATCAGTTTCTACATAATATGTGATTGGTTGCTAATGTGTGCAATGTTTTCCTTTCTCCAGTTTTATACACCAGGTATATATGATTATTTTGTCTCATATATATTGTTCACACACGTATGCTAATGCCTGCTTATCTCTATAGATGTACATGAGTGGAATAAAGTATTTTACTGATCTGTGGAACATTATGGATATCTTGGCCATCTTATATTTCTTTGCAGGAATTATGTTCAGGTGAGTCTCTTTTCAAATGTTATGGGCTAATAAATACTTTGCTTTAGTTTATTATACATAATAGGCGCTTAAACATGCATGGGTGATAGCCTGCCTTCTGCAAAGATTTGTTGAGGGTGTCTTCATGAGTCTTAAAATACCCATCAATTTGAGATCATCATTGTCCAATCCAGTCAAGGTGACGATCCTAATATCCAGCACAACTTTGGAGGCCCATCTAGTGGAAAGTGTTTAGCCTATTACTGTTTTTACTGTTGGATGTTTTTAGCCTATTACTATGGATTCCCATGAAGAAAAACTGTTTTTAAGTTGTGCGGATGTTCCCATGGATAACTGATCTCTTTGAAAGATCACATTCTTGGCACCATTTACAGTCAGCCTGATCATCAATCGAGTGGGTACCAATGGGAATATCACTCTTAATACTGAAAGAGGGCAAGATCCTCTGTGATATCAGTTCACCACTATAACATTACTTAACAAGTAGTAAAGAAAATGCATATGACAAATGTAGCTTTTTAACATACACTCGTCCTGCAACAAACCAAAAGTAGATGAAAGCTAGAATGAACATAGGGACTTTCTTGGAATAACAACAATGTTCTCAAAGAACAATTGTATTATTAAAACATTTTATTTAGCATAATTAAATATCCCCCATGGGGTTATGTATAAAAATTTATTTTAAAAGCAATATAGTACAGCAGCTTAGCAGTAAATATTTAACTCACACATAATATTGTACATGGAAATTGTTTGCTGTTCTTGGCTAAACATCCACAGTACTTCTTCAGAGAAACATATATCTGTTTTATGTCCACTAATTATATGCTTTCAGAGAACAAAGAACAATGTAAAATTCAACATAAACAGTAGCATAGACACAATGCAGATGTTAAAATATAACATATTAAATTATTGCATGGTCATAGCTGCTTCCCCCCACAAATGTGGATCACATGTACGAAATACTTCAGTCCCATGCTATATAATTGTCCTCCCCAAAAAGAGACAAGGAAAAATGGCAAAAGTATCACCCATGTAGTAATGAATGCCCATACATTCCGTATATAGTCTCCCCCTAGGACTAGGGTGCCCGATGTAATGTGCTGTTCAGCGGCAGGTAGATGCACAGACCGTAACACTTACAAATAATGCGGACAATGACTAGCAATCCACATAACTCCACATAAGGGAGCCCTGCAGCCAGGTGTCGTGTGGCCATAAGCATATGGAAGAAAGAAACAAGCAAGTGCTTACATCTTCTTATCTCCCACCACAAGCACATACAACCTTTCTTGTCCTTGTAATTACTCTATGGGCGCACAGTGATGCAGGGGGTAAGATCTGATCCCCACCCTCTGTAATGTCAAATGCCAGCTATAGAATTACTCTAGTTCCTATATCACTTAGAGTATATTTTATTAATTGATTCATTTTATTGGTGTGCTTACATATGTGTTGTATTTACACCCGTTTTCACCACCTTAAGTGTCCCCATTGACACTCCAATCACCATTGTCATATATTGTCTACAGGTACCTTTGGAAACAACATATTCATTTTTGATTGTAGCTGGAGAAATATTTCTTGTCTTTGGACATTTGTGTTTTTGACCATTAACATACCAAGGCCCCGATCACACCAGGGCATTTCGTCGCACGTTTTCTTCCGCGCTGAAATGCATGCAAATCAAAATCCCATGTATTACTATCAGGGCCATTCATGCAAACACGCTTAATCATTGTTTAAAATAGTCCATGAGCTTCTTTTGTGGCGCTTATTAGCTCGTTTTGCTCAATAGACTTCAATGGAAACACGTTGATCAGCGTGTTTTTGCGCTTTCACTGCTTTTCATTGGACAACTTAAAAAACTCTTTCTATGAACAGAAAACAGCTGTGAAATGCGCATAAAAACGCACAAAAAAAGCGCTAAAACGCTGTCGCCCTGGTGTGAATGGGGTCTGATACTTGAGACAATTTGAATTGGTGACATTAATGGGACAGCCCACACAAAGTGGATATTATAGGTGAAGCATGGTGGGTAGACACATCTACTGGCTTCTAATTTTTTGGGGGGAGACTCCAGTTGTGAGGTCCTGCTACCACAGTTCCTGGTTCTGTTGCCACCCACCTTAGAATTTTACTTATTCCTATCCACTTTCTGTATATAACACAATAAATTAAACGACAACATGGAAAATGAATGTTACTTGTAAAAGTCAGCTTGCGGGCCTTGAAACTCAACCTTAACTATATCACTGCCATTGTCCCTAAGATACATAAGAAAGTGATATAACTCTAATGCAACTACTAGAAAGTAAAAAAGCAGTTTGAATGGATTGAGCCTATAATATAAAAATAAGCATTTGACTAATAATAATAAAAAGTTGCCCTGCAGAAAATGTCTAAACATCTTCTTTTCTGCTTAGACTGCACAAAGACAACTCAAGCTCACTGTACACTGGACGGGTTATTTTCTGCCTGGATTATATCATTTTCACTGTCCGCCTCATTCACATCTTCACCGTTAGCCGGAACCTAGGACCAAAGATCATTATGCTGCAGAGGATGGTGAGAGAAGTATTTTGTGGTGCAATTTGTCTAAAGGAATTATCACTAAAAGCTTGCTTTGTCAGATCAAATAGAATGTAGGCTAAGATTAGCAACAATGTTCTTCCCTTGCAGTGCCTTGCTTTGTGGTCTCCCAGCCCATTTATACAAAATAAAATAGAGTATGCTGTAACTTGAAGCATAATTCATATTGTCTATTGCTTGCATGCTTGTGAAAGGAAAAAATGTGTAATCAAAGTGCCCAGTTATAGGGGTGTAATTTTGATGGCGGCCTGTGGCAAAATGGTTATAGATTCCCCAACCTCAATCCCACTAATAAGGTTTATGTACTTGTAGTGCACCCCAAGTACGCAGAGAATAGTAGAATAGATCATCTATCAATGATAGCCATTTCTAGGGAACTCAATTTCTGGCTGCCCATTAGCACTTACCACCCTCCATGGTGACCGATAACAGCAAGGTCCAGGCCATAGGTATGATGCTGAGGAACTTTATTGATGAACTTCAGGGAGAGAGGTTGAGGGTCAGGATCATCCAGGCTGGTGTAGACTGCTTAAAGACTCCTTTAAGCAATAGGACACAGTAACTGCTGCCATCACAGACTAGGACCTTTAAGCCAGGCATGGCAATCTGTGTGTAGAGCACCTGGCCAAGCAGTACTTGAATCAGAAGTAATTGGTCATTTTCATCCTTGGTATCAATAGTAGCCACTGGGCCCCCAGACTCAGGCCTCAGTGTAGGCACATGACTAGTCCTTACGCTTTAGGCCTAGCCAAATCAGACAGTCCATAGCAGCCTCCCCCCAGGCAGGGTCCGAGGGAGCTCACATGGTCCACCCCAAGTATTTATTTCCTCTCCCAGCATGCACCACCAACCATTAACCTCCCAGTGATTGGCTGGGGAGACATACACACTCATAGCAATCTCTCATTGGTTGCTCTGCTCTGTGGCCATTTGATGCCCCCCTGACAGAGCGTTTTTTGTGCTTTTATTGAAATAAAAGCGTAATTTTACTTTGCGGGAACGCTGATCTACTTCGGACTTTAGGTGGACTGACCCTGTAATATAAAAATAAATATTTAGCTATCAGTGGTAAAATGTTACCCTGCCTAAGCTTCTTCTTTTCTGCTTAGACTGCACATGGACAGCTCCAGGTCTCTGTACAATGGAATGGTTATTTTCTGCCTGGATTATATCATCTTCACTCTCTGCCTCATGCACACATTAATACATATACACAAACCAGTATCATCTGCAAATAGATTTAGAATTCTGTTTGCCTTGATTTGTGATTCTCCTTAGGATACATGTATGGAAAATGATTGAAAAGCTGGTTATAATCATTCTGTTCTCTTTCTTCAGCTCATTGATGTCTTCTTTTTCCTCTTCCTGTTTGCCGTTTGGGTGATTGCATTTGGAGTTGCTCGTCAGGGAATCCTGAGATGGAATGAACATCGCTGGGAATGGATTTTCCGCTCTGTTATATATGAGCCATATCTAGCCGTGTTTGGGCAATACATTACTGATGTGGATGGTAATCCTCTTCCATTACTTTATATACAAATGATATAAGTAAAGAAGCTGCGTACTTGAACTGCAAGGTCTGCAACAATCATTACCTTATTATGGTCTCCATAGAATGATTATATTGTGCTTGCTGAGTTTAATATGTTGTATAGAGCCAACATAAAAGATCGAAAGGACTTTATTTAGTACACTATGTCATTAAGACATAAAGGCTCTCTTTTGGACTATACTAAATTAAGGGAAGAGATTGCTCAATACCCATGGTGTTTCATGGCCATCAAGACCTGCATTGGTTAACATGAGTGGCTACTGAAGCTGGCAATCCTGCAGCTAAGTGCAAACATTCTATGGCTCAGTGAATAAGCAAATTTCCTTATCAACGAAACACTTAAAGGAAAATTCTGTGGCTGCTACAAAATTGTGTGTGTGTGTGTCATGGCCCTAAGCCTGTTTGATTGACACTTAACACATGCCTGTTACATAACAAATTCCCTCCAGACCTTGTACTGTATAGTTGGCACCCTTTAGTGTCTATGGTCAGTGATTCTGCTGCTGTCCACCATTTAGAGTTTCACTGATGCCCTTTTTAAAAATACCAGTACTTCTAAGTATGAACACACATACACACTCCCCTACCCTCCCACAATGCAGTGCGCTGTGCCCTAGCAGCCACATGATAGGCTTAAATGCTGCCATAGTGGGGGTGAGAACTCACATAGCAGATTGTAAGGACTGCCTTTTGGGAAAAGACTGTTTTAGCAAAAATATTTGCAAGGGAATCAGCAGCACCTGGAACAGTGAATGGAAGCAATGATGGCAAGTATGTCCACCAGATGGCTGGTTGTACAGCAGGACGGTGGCTTTGTGGTGGTGGCGTTTAGTACAGGTCCACTTTAAGAAATTATAATTTCCTTCCCCCAATGTTTGAGACCATTTAGCGTTCAGAGGTAGTTCTACAACTTATAATTTATATTATTATCATTTAAAATTATATATTTTTGCTCCTAGGGACAACTATTGATTTTAGTCACTGCACTATTACTGGGAATGAATCCAAACAGCTGTGTGTGGAAATGGACAATAACAACATTCCCAGATTCCCAGAGTGGATCACAATCCCACTTGTCTGTATCTACATGCTCTCCACCAACATCCTGCTTGTAAACTTGCTTATTGCCATGTTTGGGTGAGTTGATACCTCTATTGGGGTGTTGCCTGTAAGAACCAATTTGTTATAAGAGTCTATTGCCACAATTTTCGGGTCTATTGGATTTTAGCCTTTCTTGTCTATAATATAACTACCCATTTTAGTTTAGGTTAAGGTTTAGATGAGTTTTTAAAGCCAGTAAAAACACTCAAAGTCCAGAGTACTGTCAATGGATGCATCACGTCACAGAATTATAGGTATAAATAGTAGGCATATAAATGGATGAATACCATTACGAATTGGCAAAATCAAACAGAACTGCATTTTAAACAGTATCAGCTAGTAGCAGCAACTAATGGTGTATTTTAATCCCTCACTGCTGATTGGATCACTGAGTTCTCAGGAGTTTTCATATCAGCAGGTGTTTCAGGCCAATCAAAGCTCCTTAAAGTTGGATTGGCACATATGGACACTGGATAAAAAGAGAATCCCTTTCCTGTGTTGCTACAGTAGTGTCTAGGGATGAGATTTGGGTTTAGGTCTATCATGCGTTTCAGATGAACTCAGACCATTTGTTGTTCGTGGACACCCGGAAGTAATGTGAAATTTCACTGCCAAAGTATCCAACTAAACATAATGCACTTCCTTGCCTTTGAAATGGAAGGTAAATTGGCTCATGTCTAAATTGGCCCTGTATGAATGCATGTGATATAGGGACCTTATATTGTAAGCTCCTTGAGGGTAGGGACTGATGTAAATGTACACTATGTAAAAGCGCTGCGTAAATTGTCGGCGCTATATAAATACCTGTAATAATAAAAGGTTGGGTTCCCAGCAGCCATATTGACAAGCTATGATAGGGAAAGCATAGGAAGTGCTGCTGACAAACTGCATAAGGGCAGATTAATGTAGGGCTTTTAGGCACTGGCTGGTCTCTTAAAGTAGATATAAAACCCTTACTGAATGTCCTGTAGGTAGCAAAATGCTGTGTATTTTGGGGGAGTAAAGGGGTTTTATATCCTAATGCTGTAGCTTCTGTACAGCCTGCCCCTGTCCACAAGCCCTACAGTCATAACAGACTGCACATTTTTTTTCCACAGGGCATATTTTCAAGTTGTTGCTGGCTGCAATATTTTTAACAGGCCTTTTTCAGCACAGAAGCGTATCATTTTCTTTTAGAGACCAGGTGACAAGAGATTGTGGGAGACGGGCAAAGCATTGTCGTCCCATAAAAAAGTGGCCAAACAAGGGCTTTCTTTCTGTATTACCAGTTGTTATTTTCATGAAAGCTAGCTATTAAAATAAAATATCCTCCCTTTTAGGGGCCTGTTCACATTAGATGCGCTGCCGCTGGGGCATCCAGTGCCCCTGGAAAAAAGGGGGTTATAATTACACTGCCACCAATGAGACTGGGAGGAACAATTACTGCAAATGCAAGAACAAACTGAAAGAAGAGGAAGAGCTTAGGAAATAGCAAATTCTTTCCTATGCTCCTCAGCTCCATCAAGTGATCATAAAGTGGTATTTTCTTAATATTACATTTGACTTGGAAAGTAAATATACTATTCACGAAGCTGCCGAAGGATCTGGCCGTAGCTTCGGCCGAATGATGTGCGCGATCCGTGTGAGCTACAGGCCGCGAGGAGGAGGCCTGAGAGGATCTAGCCACGCCCCGTCCCAATGCTTTTCAATGGGAAAATTCTTTTTTTTTTTTTTCCTATTCTAACATCTAACATCTAACTATTCTAACATCGCGTGTCAGAATAAAGAAAAAAAGACACAGCCCTGTTTCTCCCCTTGGCGGCCGGGAGCGGAAGGCACCCAGAGCGCCCGGCAGAGTTTTTTATTTTTTTTTATTTTATCGAACTCCTTCTGCACTTCGGGTCGGCCGAACATGCTGAGCATGTTCGGCCGACCCGAAGCCACACGAAGCAAGCCGATGTATGGCTGATTTCAGCCGATGTACGGCTGAAATTAGCCGTACCAGCCTGAAGTGAATAGCCGAACAGTGTTCGGCTCACTTCACTTCAGATCGGTCATTCACTCGGCTGCCCTCGGCAGCTTCGTGAATAGACCCCTTAGTATGTTTGTTTTTGCCTCTAGTCGCATATAACGAATGTTCTCAGAGATTTGCAGAATGGATGTGAATATTTCTCTATGTTCAAACTCCTGGTTCCTCACAAGATTTTAGAACCGTGGGGACATGTTAAAACAATAAAATACACCACAAAGAGTTTAGATTGTATTCAATTAGAAATAATGTTAAATGTCACCCCAGTGCACTAATACAGTAGTACAAAAATGCATGTGTTGTGGTTCGATGTTTAAAAAAGGGTCATGTCTGTTATTGGCTGCATTGTGGTTTGTTGACAGCTTATTCAAAATTAAAGGCTGTCTTGATGCAGTGCATGTCACTTTTCTTGTATTCCTTTTATTATATGGCTATTAAAAAACATTTTTGCTGGTTAAAAATAATATATGCTGTAGCTCAGGCCCTGGACCACATGACTATAGTAATGTATTGTTCAATTGTAGGGTAGGGACCATGTGACTTCTAGTTATGTCCCTGGGAGTGATTACAATGTAGCTTTTTTGCCACTCCAGATGGCAGCTAATGCCCATTGCCTTCTGCAGTTGCACTGTCCAGTGACTGTACAATTTTGTGGCTATTGTCTTTCAAATAATACACTCTAGTGTTGATTCAAGATAAAGCCTGTCTCATCTCTCCCTCTTATATTGCAGCCTAACCAAGCTGCTTACATACTGTCCAGCCGCTGAAATAAATAAAGGCAGTGACGTTTGTTAGCACTCATAGCAGCTATGTGTCAGAAGATATGCAATCCCTAATTTGTATATTATTCCTTGTGGTTAGTGTAAAGCATGACAATTAAATTGTATAGATTAGTAAACTTGTTTTGAGTTGCCACTATTGCTATTTTTAATAGGTACCCAGTCTCGGAGTTCTTCTTTGATTTATTATTACCACTCTTTATTAGATACACAGTGGGCACGGTTCAGGAAAACAATGATCAAGTATGGAAGTTTCAGCGCTATTTTTTGGTCCAGGAATATTGCAGCAGATTGACCATTCCATTCCCATTTGTCATTTTTGCTTACTTCTATATGGTCCTGCGGAAAATGTTAAGTTGCTGCTGCAAAAAGCAGGAGCCTCCGCCTGCACCTTGCTGTAAGTGAATATGTCACCCTACATTTGCTACTTACAATTTCTGTATAGTAATTATATTCACTTTTAGTGATTAAACATTAACGCTAAAGATTAATCTGTTTATATTTTGCCTTCTCTGGTTCCCTCCACCCTCATCAACATTCTAATGAAATTTTTAAACAAAAAACTTTTTCCATGTTTTTATTACATACTTTATATTAGACCCAGTGACATTATCACTGGTTCTTTGTGCTTCTCTATGAAATGCGGGCAAATCACAGCTGGTGGGAGGGGCCGGTAGGGTGCTGTACATAGCTTCCTGAAAATATCACAGCACCCTGTCTCAGTAAAGTTGGCCATGGTGACACTGTCGGAACCATCCAGCCTAACAAAATTGAAGTGAAAAATGTGCTATGGACCTATTACTCTTATCATGCCTATACTGTAAATGTGGGAGTCCTTTGGATCAAGTTACTAAACATTTTTCAGTTACATGTATATGATGTTGTACTTATTTCCTAATTCCTATTTTGTGATTGCTGTTACGCTTTACAGTGTTAATGTTTGTTTCTATTGAAAATTGAATAAAAACAATGAGATGGAAAGATTAAATGGGCTGGGGGGAAAATTGTTGGCCGAACAGTGTCTGAATCCAATCAGATGCAGTCACTATTTGGGCATTCAGACAGCCGCAGGTGCTGCTGCTACTGCTGCTGACTGAATACAGTAGATCTGCAGAGGAGTCCTCCATCCATGCTGTTTAGTGTGGATGGGGAAATCAACTAATTTCTTTTTTTCAGTACATAAGTCTGAACGAGAGAAATCTAGGCATGTAAGACTAGCCTAATTTTCCAGTGGGTTGGCTCTTGGAAGACTTTATGCACATATCAAAATGCTTAGATGGGTCAGTCTGGAGGAGTGAGCATTCCTAGGCAAGCTGTAATGGCATGCAAACCAGGCAACACCCAAATGTGATGCTAAGTCTCCATGACTGGAAGACCTGAATTCCAGTGAATGAAAGGGGCAGGACAGAGACAGTAAAGCTATGGAGGAAAGGAACATCCTCCAACCAGGAAATGAGGCGAGCTCTATCTGACTCAATGCAACTTCTAATGCACACCATGAGAAGCTCTCAGTGTGCAGGGAAATCAGAGAAAGCTATTTAAATACAGGGGAGAAGCCTGTACAGAAGTGCAAGACTAAAGGGACTGCTGAAGTTCAGCTTTAACCATTAGTCTAGTAATGCAGCCAAAAACATACAGAGCTCAAAATTATTTTGTTTTCTTGAAGGTACTTGAAGTCCTCCATTAGTGCTCTGAATTGTCTTATATGTGATGGACACGATTTATGAAAAAGTATTCTAACAAAAACATGCCTTGTTCCCCTTGGGAATTAATTAAAATCCTTGTTTCTGATTTCACTTTTCACTGCGCAAAGGGCAGCTAATAGATAATTGGTTGTTATGTACAAGAAAAAATATACTTGTTGGAATGGCTTTCCTACACAAGTCCATAGGTCAGGCATATGTTTATGATTGCAAGTGACAATCTTGGGATTATTTCAAAAATAGCTGCTTGATCTGTTAGAAAATCTTAGAAGCTTTCTTCTACACCCATGATATTCTCTAATTATTACATCATGTCAGAAGTGAAGCAACATCTTTTCAGACCAAATGGCTTTTTGTTGAACCATGATAAATAAATTCATGCTCTTCTCTGGTACTGTCAACGCAATTAAAGCTGAGCTCCACCTTACCACAGTTTTACAGGCTCCTATCGTGTACTGAAACTGCTTACTCTAATTTTACTCCACTGCATTAGAAGCTGGCCTAAGTCAGATAGAGCCCATCTCATTTCCAGGCTGGAGAACACCCAGCATTATATAGTCCTTTTTTCCCCAGCCTGACTGTCCCTGTGCCACCCCTTTCATTCAATCATAGAGGCTCAGCATCACTAATAGGCATCACCTAGGGGCAACCTGCCTAGGAATGCCCACTCCCCCAGACTGCCATCAACCCATCAAGGCATTTTGAAAATTTGCAGAATTCCTCCCAAGAGCCACAGCTGAGAGAAGTAGCGAAGTAGGGTGCTGTGATGTTTCAGGCACCCTAATAATCATATCATCAATAGATTATGTCCCTCTATGATGATAAACATCTTTTAGTCAAGGTATGTAAACATTACTGCAGTGAAAAAAAAAAGTTTTTTTATGATGTGAAAGGTGCAGGTAAAAGATCAGGATTTCTCCATCACTGTAGGTTGACAACTTTCATTGTTTTCCCTAAATTATTAAAGTTAAATAAATTTAAATAAATTATTTTCAAAAGAGAATTGATTTTCTTAAAAGAACATCTCCAGGAATTTTAAAAGTTAACCCTCGCAGTGAGGTTACCCCCTCCCCTTCCCCCACGCTGCTGAAAGTTCTTTAACTAATAAATAAATTCTTCTTTGCCTCTGCAGGTTACACTAAGGAGGATGTTGAGACCTTGGCCTGGGAAGCTGTGATGAAAGATAATTATCTGGTGAAACTGATTAGCCAGAATCACAATAACACAGAGTGAGTATCCTCTGGTGCTCAGGGATGGAGCAGGCCTGTGAAAAAAACAAACTACAGGAACATTTTTTATATAATTGAGCCACGTAAGCTGCAGATCGGGTTGATCTGGCATAAATTCAAATTTCCAGTGAATCTGAGTTCTGCGGTTTTACTGTATGTGCATGGAAAGTTTTCCTGTCTGTGAGGATTCACAAGTTGCAATATTATTAGTGGATAGGGGGAAATAAAATGCACATTTTTAGGAGTAGAACTATGATTTGCCAGATAGTCTCAGATTTGCCCAGTTTGCCTGATTCCCAGATAGCAAGCAATTGAGCTGCAAGTTTGAAAATGACTTGCTAAAGTATTGCAGACTTGCAGACAATTACAGCAAGTCTGCATTGAAAGTCTCCAGACCAGCGAGCTTTGCAAAAGTGCTGTACACTTGCAGAGCTTTGCTAAGACCTGCAGGACTCTTGCTGTAGACTTGCCAAGCAAATTTGCTACAAATTAAAAAAGTGTCATCTAGAACTTGTGCTGCGAGTGTTCTGCAAGTCAGCAACTTGCCAGGAATGTGTGCAGCAAGTTAGAAAGAATTACAATTTAACCCTGCCACAAGTTTCTGGCAAGTTATTCTTGCTATCTGGGTACTTTCTATGGGTTATACATGTAAAGAATGAGTGGATTTACTCTAATGAAACCTAAAAGTGTGCTGTCAGTTCAGTTTGACAATACATGTCAATTATCCGCTTCTTGAGCAACTCTGCCCAGTGGATCATTTTGGTGGCACAGCAGAAGCCATACAAAATCCTCATTTATGGGCAAATGCATTATTATATGACCATATTTTGTCATCCTATCCAATCTATAGGGGTCTATTCACTAAGCTGCCGTAGGCAGCCGATGGAATGACCGACCTGAAGTGAATTGAGCCGAACACTGTTGGGCTATTCACTTCAGGCTGGTACGGCTCAGAGGGACTGAGCAGAACAGAAAAATTGTAAAAAAAGTAAATAGAAAACGATTGTGCGGAGCTAGCAGTGACAGCCAGCTCCGGCCAACAGTTTTCTATTGTCCGGCGGTTCTCTGCTGCCGTCAAAAAAAAAAAGAAAAAATCTCCCGGGCGCTCTGGGAGCCTTTCTCCTTGAAATGATTTAACTTGGTGGATAATCAGTTGCCTGTGGGCACCTTTTATAATAGAGATTTAAACAAAATTAAAAAAGAATGTTGATAATTCATACTTTACACGTGACTAGCACTTCCTATACAAATACTGTGAGGGGAATTTATAAAAACTGGAGCAGACAGAATCTGGAGCAGCTGTGCATGGCAACCAATCAGCTTCTCTGTTTCATTTTCAAATCTTACCTGAACAAACTGAAGAGAGAAGCTGATTGGTTGCCGTGGGCAAGTGCTCCAGATTCTGTCTGCTCCAGTTTTGATGAATTCCCCCCTAGTATATTTTAAAAAATAGAAATTCTCTATATATAGGAGAACTATTGGGAGAGCAAAATGTACTCTTCCCAATACTTTGAGCGGCATGTGACACTGCAGCTGTCACATGCCGGGTCTATAGCTGGAGAACTGAGCTATCACAAACCACTGATCGCTCGGCTCATGGCAGAGAGTAGTGACTGTCAGCCTTTCCCTCTCCCCTTTCCCTCTCCCCTTTCCCTCTCCCCTTTCCCTCTCCCCTTTCCCTCTCCATTTCTCCATTCCTCCAGCACTGACTGGAGGGATGGACAGGGAGGGGGCGGGCAAAGCTAGCTCTGGTTCTAGAGAGGCAGAGCCAGCTGTCAATCAGGCAGCAGGATTTAAATATTGTTGGGATCTCTCCTGGCTGCAGCGCGGTTCTGCAGCAATAGCCCGCTATATGCTGACTTTGGGTCACAGTAGGACATTTGCTAGTGTACTCTTGTGACCCAAAGTCAGCGCTATAGCCAAAAAAAAAAAGATTTGGCTATAGTTCTCTTTTAAAGGCTATGTTTACCGTTTGGACCATGTTTCATGTTACACCCTGAACTCCTGTTCAGGGTGTAACACGAAACATGGTCATATCGCAATGTATTTATTGTACTTAATTGGAGGTGGTCCACTCCTGATATAATCTGGCATATAACAACACGCGTTGAGTGGTCTTATCACCAGAGGGGTACCCAGGCTGGGTGTCACCCAGTGTGGCCGCTGAGTCTCAGCCACTGGGATGTCACCACACACTCACGTGAGGTCACCACACATGTGCGTAATGATGCCACGCGCACTTTACAGCCAGCTGCTATCTTGCTGACGGTTGCCGGCAAAGAAAGGAGAGGATGTTAATCCGGTGGGATAGTGTACGCCGCTGGGTCCCCTCCTCTCCGTGCAATTGTCAGGCTCTCGGTTTATGAATTTTGGTGTCGTCCAGTGCGGGCTGCACCTCCCTTGTGAAGCCTCTGGTTATCACACAAATTAGGCACGTACAGTGGCGTCACAAGGGGGGTGCGGCCCGCACCCGGGTGACACCCTGTTTCAGGAGAGAGGAGGGGACCCAGCGGCAAACCGTGAACGCGACCTCTCTCTGCGGGCGCCCATCACCAAGATGGCCTTCAGCAGGCATCAATGAGATGACCGAGCGTGCGTGATGACATCACGGTGGGGTGTCGCCCGGTCTCCGCTCCGGGTGACACCCGGTCTCGGGACGCCCCTGGGCACGTACACAGAGAAGTGGATGGTAGTGCTTACTTGTGCAGTTTGCTAAATGCTTGATCTGCAAGGCTGTCAGAGCACACTTGTTTGTAAGTGTTATTGCATTGATAGTGTTTTAAATAAGAGCTTAAATTTATGTTATTTTATTTATTTATCTAGGGAAGAGCACAGAGTATATCATTCTTGGAAGAAGCACTCAAAGCTCCAGTGATGTGCTGATCCTTGTAGGTCAAGCAGTCCATAGTTACACAGTATTTGAGGTTGAATACAGACACAGGTTCATCTAGTTCATCGTGCGTGTGCAGGCCCGGATTCCCCACAAGGCCACCGAGGCCCGGGCGGCAACGGCCATCTGGTTGCCAAGAAAGCAACACAACCAGGTCTCTCAGAACTCAAATTGCTTTGTTTCCTTTTAGGGCAGAAAACAGATTCAAGCAAATGGAGGCAAAGGTAAACTAAGCATCTTTCCCCTTGAATGTATAAAGTGTCATATCTGTTCCGGTTTTCTCTTTGACCTGCCTGCATTGTATCTCTCCACAGCTGTATGACTTGAAAGTGTTAATCAATGATATTAATCACAAGATAAAGTGATGTCATTTACACATGGAAGGATTATGGTAATGTACTATATCTCGGTTTTTTTTCCATTAATGAAGAACTCCGGGCAAATTAAATCTTAACCCATGAAGTGGGGCTACCCCTGCATTGCAAGGGTTAAGTGTTTGTTTGTTTTATAGGGAGCTAAAATAATAGAGATATACCCAACTGAACTCACCCGATCACCGCACCCTCTCTCCCCCTCTGCTCCAGCTTCTAAGCTCCTGTGGGTCATCATGCCCAATACTGTGTATTGGACATGAAGACGCCAAGGAAACAGAGGAGTAGAGAGGGTGCAGGGTGAGTATATCTCTGTTATTTTAGATCCCTAGACAAAACAAGTACTGAACCTTTGCAGTGTGGGGGTAGCCCCACTGCAAGGGTTAAGATTTAATTGCCCGGAGTTCTTCTTTAAGCTTTACATTTCTACCTATTAGAGTGCTGCTCTTTCCAACGGGTCTTTTAACATTATATACAGAAACTGTACCTCTCTTCGGGATACAACACCAACAAGAAATCTGATTAAGTGATGTTTAATCTAGACGTCTAAGGCTTCTGGAAATCATAGTAGTTGCTCCGTGTACTATAGTGATAGTAAAGTACACCAGTCACCATAGCTGACACTTAGAAATACTCTCAGAATGTAATACTAGGCACTGCCAGTTGCTTATTGGTATGAATTACTAGAAAATCTGCCACTCTTCTTGTGAGATGGATTTAGAATATGGCATAGTGCAGACACTCTGTTTTTGTAGCGCACACTACTGTGATTGATTTTCTTGTAAATCATACCTAATGGCCCTTTGGTAGTACCTGCATACATTATGATTTTGTTTTACCTGTCAACTGCAGTGGCTAGTGATAGCCTTTGCATGTACCATTAGGACTTGATTTATTTAGTATGCACAATGTAATGCATGCAATTATTGATATTTTGGATTTCAGGGCATGCTTTAACTGTCCTTTGAATCAGGGCCGTCTTTAACGCGGGGCAAAGAGGGCGCTTGCCCCGGGCCCATTCATGGCTGTGGGGCCCAAAGCAGCTGCCCCTTGAGCCCGCTGCCAGCAGAAACTTGCCGATCGGATCGCCCGTGTAGCGCAGGGATCGGCAAGGTGTCCGTACAGCCCCACACGCCTGCTACCCTGGTGAGGCCCCCGATATGTTTTCGGCGGCCGATATATCGGTGCATCCCTAATATAAACGGCTGAGCTTGCAATCGGTTTGAAATCCTGCAGTCAAAGTTTTTTTGAGAGAAGTCTATGATCTATGTGTGCTGTTTGTCCGATCAGTATTAAAGACGGGCCTGCTTTGAATAGTGAGTATTCAAACAATCTGGGATCCCAGATGTTTGGAAACTCAGATTGTTTTATTGACTAGATATGTCTTATTGCTGCATATGACATTTACTTACAGTATAATGCATTCAGCAGTTGCAAAAATGAATAACTCGCTGTTTAAACATGAACAAGTCACCCCTCTGCCCCTTTCTCCCACATTTTCCCCTGACCACCTTGTCCTGATACCCCAAGTGTTCCGCTTTTCTTCTACAGGTTTCATCTTCTACAGAAGAAATAAGCAGAGCGTTTTTTAAGAAGTCGCACCATCAACGGATGCTCTTGCCGTCTTGTTCTCTGCTAAACATTCAAGCGGCATTTCAATTTATACCTCTCTTTGTTACATAGATTAAATGCTCAGATAATGCTGTGGGGTAGGTGACTCATTAATAGGTAGTAGCATCCTAAATGAATTTAACTTATTACATTTTGAATCATGACGAATGCTCAGCTGCAGAACAATAGCAGTGCTGTTATGGCAGCTTTACCTCTAAAGATTTGTGGAATAATATGGCAAGTGTGTGTGGATAATTGCAATGACTACAACAATGATTTAAATACAGAATGTAGTCCTAGAGGTAGCGCAATGTTGATCACTACTATATTTCTCAATGTTGGCTAGAGTAGAATAATGCTGTTTGAAACTTTTCAAAGCATGCAATACAATTTTGTTATTATTTGTTTAAATGCTGAATATCATTCAACATTTAAAGACAGTCTCATCCAAAGTGGTCCACAGAATTTGTAAGGAAGATGGTGGCTACCATAAAATCTTCACCTAGCGATCATTTGGACAGTCCTGGTCAGATCTTCATAGCAGAGTCTGTCCTTGAATTTCGTTCTGCTGGGACCTGAGGAGATATTTCATTTTGTGTCAATTTGCAGTGCTTTTGCTCTTTTTGGAGATGAGCCAGTACATGTTTGTGATGTTGTATTTGGTTCTTGTATCTGTATTCAAAAAATAAACTTCATCAAGAAATTCTTCTTTGTTTCATGTCTTTGAGTATTTTGTTTTGGAGGTGAAATGGTGGTTGTAAAAAGAAGTACATTTATTTAAGCATTTAAACTTTGTACCTTACACAACTGTCAAATGCATTGGTTGTCCATGACTTTTGTGTGACCCTGTAGCATGTCCTGTAAGTGGACAGTCACTTAACTGCTGGGTCAGTGAACTACATGATGAACCAATTGTATGTTTATGCCATAAAGATCTCAGCTGTGAAAATATAGACAGAGTGGTATATGAACGTTGGAACAGATAAAAAAAAAATGGCTGCTTCATGCAGCAACAGTTTTGGCTTTTATTTATAACCCTACAGTGAGAAAAGTCATCATGATACCTGATTGGTTGATATAGACAGTACCCCTTTTTATTTTTTTGGTCTGCTGTCATAAAAAAATATTTGATTAAAAACATAAAGTCTTCTCCATGGCAGAAGTTTTAGTTTGTAAATAAATAAAAAAAATACAGAAACAGGCTGAAGTATGGAAGCTTTTTGGCCTATGTATCAAAGTTTTGGAATTAAGAACATTGTGAACAAATGAATGAAAACTTTCATTTCCCATTGTAATTGTCCAGTGTGTGCTTACCACACAGGCAGTTCTTATTTCTGATACTTTTCATAAAATATGCTAGTACTTCTACGACTGCTGGGAGTTACTATTTATTCATCTGTGGAAGATACAAACCCTAGACTGCAGGGGCAATGACATTTTTTTAGTTTGCATATTTAAAAAAATGCGTAAACAATCTTAGCAAATATTTGATTGGTTGCTATGGGCAACTGCACTATATTTACACAGAACATTCCTAAACTATTGGCAATTATCATGTTTACAATGTCACTCTATATAGTTAAAGTGGTATCTTTAACCTGCAAAGTATTACAGTCATGTTTCCAAACAGCTCCAATTCTCTTAGCTCAACTTCCCTGGACAAGGAACAGCACAGTCTCCAGCAGCTGTCCATCTACTAACTTGGAGAAGGAAGGAAGGAGGGAGGAAGGAGGGGTGGGGAGCAGTGGAGAAGGTTAGTGTTTTTTCTTGCCATACCTGTGTTTGTGGATACTCACACAGCTTACTAGCACACAATGGTGGCTCCATAGGACCCGGAAAGGAAAAGGGGTCACCCTAACACAAGTTTATAGCCAACACTCAGGGGATCAGATGATTATGCAGGAAACTAAAACTTTTAAACATCAAGCAGCAGCATCCATTGTAGGTGATTTAACCTCCCTGGCGGTATTCCCGAGTGTGGCTCGAGGTTAATTTTCATTACCAATAGCAGTAACCCCGAGCCACACTTGGGATTGCACAAAAGTGTCACTTACCTTGTCCCTGCGAGCCCGCGGTGTCCTCTGCTGTACGCGGCCGGCCGTTGCCGGCATTCAGTTTAGCTTTCGCCGTCACAGCGGGGGGCGGGAAATTCAATAGTGAAAACATGACATTTACACAGAATCCACACAATACAATGTAATCTGCTATAATAACATTTATGTATCAAACCATTTCACTTGAATTTTGTCCCTAAAGCTTTGTCCAGTGCCCTGCCTGCACTTTTACTGCACTTTCAAACAATTTGACATAGCTTAAAAACATATACCTTTTATCTCACTTTAAGCAATGGTTTAACAAGAGAAAGTTCTACTATCAATGTTCCTGTACAAAATGCTTTCTTCTTAGTTTATATTAAAATGTTTAGGCTGGTGCCATATTACAGAAAGCAAATGGATTCCCTTCTTAATATGCTAATTGGGCTGACAAAAAAAATGCAAAGAATTCAGAATATCAGAAGAGTAGACCAAGATTCTCTACAAAGCCAAGTGTCAGTGTCTGTTATTTTGTTATTAGCTATTGGTGCTGCAGGCAACTACATAAGAACCCATCAAACATTCTTAACCTAACAAAATTTAAGGAGAGAGTGCAAGGGTGGAGGCAGAGGCGGCTCTCTAATTAGGCAAATTAGGCGGTCGCCTTAGGCCTCGCGCTCCCGAAGGCCTCGCGGCCGCCTAGTTTGCAAGGAATTGGCCCTTTTTTTTTTGTTCAGCCCGCGGGTTGAACGAAAAAAATAGATCAGTGTATGGCCAGCCTTAGACAGGAGCCAATTAACCTTCCAGCATGTCTTTGGAGTGTAGAAGGAAACCGGAGTACCCGGAGGAAACCCACACAAGCACAGGGAGATGAAACTTCTTGCAGATAGTGACCTGGCCGGGATTTTAACTGGGGACCCCAGTGCTGCAAGGCAGCAGCACTAACCACTACGCCATAAAACAATTATAGTCTATGCCTCGGCAAAAAATAATATGCAATACATCTCTGCATACACACTTCTCCACAATTTGTGTCTTTAAAAACACTGCACGTATCAAAAAAACCTGTTGAATCTGACAGAAATTCAGGGAGCTCCTAAGTTTCTGTAGTGAACTGACGACATAGTGCCTCTGCTGCACTGAAATCCCAAGCAGTGTTGTCAGCTGTCCTGCCTAGTTTTCTCCCCATTCACCTACCCCCTATGTCATGGAGATGAGGCAAGGAGGAGAAGGTATGTAGTCCAGGAGGGGAGAACTCCGGCAGGGCTGACCACACAGCTTGGGATTTTAATACTTCACAGGCAGAGTTGTCAGCTCAGTACAGGAAGTTATTTTTCTGTACAGGTATTTTTCTGTTCTTGCTGCATTTTTCCCCAGAC